TTGAGTCCAATTTAAACCACTAAGGGGATGTCATGGGTAAATGTAATGTGCTATCTGATACTCAGGGAGGCCAAACTCAACAAGGGCCCTCTGTGTTCACTGACCTTTTGTCAAAGATGAAACACGCACACAGACTTCAGTCTGTAACGTCGAGCCACATACAGAAGCCAGAAGTCTTTTCTATCTCCTCATCAGCTTCTCAAAGCAGTTACTGAGCCGTGGTGAGCTGGACTGCTGGTGCATGGTGAGCGTGTGAGAGCGCACAGCAGTCAAAACAGAGAAAACACACACTCTTTGACAGAGGTGAGTCACACTGGTGGAGAGAGGGAGAAACTGGGAGACTTTCATATAACATTATCTTAAAATGCAGAAGAAACACTAGACATGCCTGTTGAAGATATTAAACACACACACACACACACACACACACACAAAAACCCTGAAAATCATTCTCACTGGCAAATCAGAGCAAAAACATTTTGACATTTACGGAAATACATTTAGTCGCTCCCTTGCCAAGAGTTAGATGAGAAGATCAATGCCGCTCTAATGCTAAATATGAAGCTACTGCCAGGAACCAGTTAGCTTAGCTTAGCACAGAGACTAGAAACAGAGGGAAACAGCTAGCCTGGCTCTGTCTGAAGGTAACAAAAATTCCCCTGCCAGCACACTTTTAGTCTTTTTTGTTGAATTAGAACAAAAACCAAAGTGTAAAAATGATAAGTTGTGAGGGAACTGGAATGAAACTGAGGGAAGCAGCAAAATCTGAGAACCTGAAACCAGCAAAGAATGTCTGGGACAAATAACAAACTATTAATCCATTAATTATGTGTTGATCGACCAATCGATTCAGCCCTAGCATAAAATCAACGAAAAATATAGCTTTTGGGTCTCAAATTTGGAGATCAGTCAGGTCAGGTCTTAAAAATGTGTTTATGGGCCAAGTTGAGCTCTCAGTTATAAAGCAGAGCACACTCACAGCTTGCAGGAGGTAGGCCATATTTTTAAATGTCCTACAGTAGCCTAATGTTTCACCATTTAACAAAATACACCTGTTCTTTTGATCTTCTACACAAGCCCCAACTCCTAAACATACCTGAATTTAACAATAACATTTCAAGAGTGGAAAATTTGAAGTTTTAATTTTTATAAAAAGCTATCCCTTCAACAGCAGACTGCTCATGAAAATCTTGTTATTGCTACATGAATTACCTTCCACTGTAAGTCACCAGACTTTTTGAACGGAGGTAACTTATACAGAAGTTTATTGAGATTTAGGCCTCTACTTCATCGTCCCTCTGGGGCTCCCTAACATCCTGCAGGGCCCTCAGGTCCTTCACCGTCACACAGTGTGCATACTGACCCTCACTGCCTGCCAGAGCCTCCTCATGCTTGAAGTAAAAATCCACAGCCTACCACGTTCCTGAGAGCCACAATTCTCTCAGATATCTGCACTACTATTAAAGGTAGTGCTATTAAAGCATGATTTGTTCCTACGCTCCATGAAGACTTCAGGACGCTCCTCTCTGAGCCACTTGACAGCGTGTGGGCTGCAGGGAAAAAGACAGCAGCTGCAAATCTACTCCAAAGACAAAAACACAAATCCTGAACGTAGCAGGAAGCTGTTGGCACTGTCCTGGTGCCGGCAGATGAATGGCTTGGAGATCTCAAAGCCCAGCGCGTCGTGTGCGTCTCTCCTCGCCTGAGTTGGGCTGCAGTGTGCCATAACCCCACAGACCACACACTCACACACAAACACACACACAGAGAACTGCCAAGTATAAATGGCTGGTTTTCACGGTGTGTAAATAGAGCGGGTCTGTAGCCAAACACTCAAGCCGTCATAAGGCGTGCTGTGAAGCCAGTGTCTAGCAAAAATGCCCTGATTCATACCATATGGGCATCATTCATGAAGTCTCCTTTGAACGCTGAGCACAAATAACAGATATTACACTGAAGCAGAGAACGCAGAGATACTGTAGGTGTACATCTGATAGAGTCAGTCATGCAAAACAAGAATGTGTTACAGTAAGCTATACTCAGTCTGCTCAGTCAGACAGGCTTGACTGTAGCAAAGCTTTGTGGGCTCTTGTCAGCCTATTGTCCATTGAGCAACTATTGTGGCAGAAGGCATTGTATTGTTGACTGTCATGCGTGTCAGATGGATTGCCATGGACCTGCTTTCTCTAAGCCTTGTACAGTACAGCCAACTGTGCAGGAAAGTAACTGACATGAGAAAAAAAAAAACAGAAAATTAGATACAGGAAAATCAAGAATCCAAACAGGAGAAATAAAGCAAAAAGAACCAACCAACACTGCCATCCACAAAGCCATGAGAGGTAATGGTATTAGGTCTCTTCAACAGATTTCAAGCAGGTGAGAGTGAAAAAACATACAGAGGGAGATGGAAAAGAAATGAAAACTGAATCCCCATCAAAAGTGAGACCTGGTTTGATGGATGGCCGGAGACCGCTCGCTGTTCTGTGAGTTAATTATGACAGAACAGAAGGACTTTCACTGGGAGAAACTCCTTTAATACACTGGAGAATTGAGAATTCAATGAGAATATGTAGTCCACCGCCACTCTTCCTCACTGTCTTTCATTGGCGGTACTCCATACTTCTTGGGCCATTTTCCAACTTCTGCTCTGGCACTTCATCCCGCCTTATCCCCTCCACACACACACACACACACACACACACACACACACACACACACACTCCTGTCTCGCTCTCTCATTCCCTCTCAGACATCTCACCATCACTGCTACTACGACTGTGTCACACTTTCCATCCTCACGCCTTCCTCGCTGTCTATTCTCCATGTGACACCTCAGTGTCTCACTCTGTCCACCACTTTCTGTCCTCTCTCTCACTCAACTTGTGGCTTGGCAGTGTGTTTGTGTGTTTGGGTGTGTGTGTGTGTGTGTGTGTGTGTGTGTGTGTGTGCATGTGCGTGTGTGTGTGTGTGTGTGTCCCTTTGTGAGGAATGACTGCCAGATATTGAACTTTGTCATCCAACCTGCCACCTTGAGTATCTCCGTGCTTGTAATCAGCACTATCTACTTTGTTCTGCTACCCTGACTCCGCTGTGGGCTCATGTGTGGGTGTACAGGTGCTACATTTTTCTAATAAAAAATAGCAATTTGTGGATAATGATCTTAACGGTTCAACACAAAACTAAACTAAACAAAAAGAAAACAGGAGCTCTGCAGCCTTTTTTTCTGCAGCATCAAGGACACTATTTATTCCAAATGAGGGCGGACTGTGGCATAAATCAGACACTCACACCTGCTCACACGTACACATACACAAACTTATCATTCCAGGTCATGATCCATCCATCCATCTATCTTCACTGCAAACAGTGCCATAAGGGGGGAAAGGAGAAATTTAATTTGTGTGAGTGTCAGTGTGTCAGCATGCAGCCATGAATATATTTGAGTGCGAGCATGTGTGCGAGTGTGTGTTTTATGTGCTCCCGGCTGTTGTCAGCTATCCCTGGTTGGCATCACAGCACCATATGTCTGTCCGTGGGGCTGTGCTGACATGTGCCACCGCTGGAGGCCAGGCCGGCCGCACACAGCACAATGACAGCTTTATGCCCGCATGCCACGCATTGCAATACTCTAGCAAATAGTCACATCCTGCAGCTTTTGCACGCAGTGAGCATGTGAGGATGAACAGCCCTGACGCACAGAGGTGAGACAACATGAGTGATGGTTTCTCACCTGCAGGTTTAAATCTTGACCAAGCTCTGAGCGTGTGATTTTGTTCTGTTTGAAATTACAAGCTTAGCTGAGTTTGCTGATAACGGCAGGGGAGGGGGTGGACCTGAAATCTGATTAGCCACCCCTGGTCCCCCCTACCAGAGTCAAAAAGGGATGGTTGGCTTGATAGTATCATGGCTGATTACTGAACAGGCTTACCGGGTACAGGCTCAGGGGCCCCTGGACCACAACCTCAGTATGAAGTGATATTAAATGTTAGAAGTCACAACCACAAGAGACACAAATCGACCACAAAAAGACAGAAAACAAGCACAAAGATTCAGTCTTTATGTCTTGCTTTTACATCTGTGTCTACGTCTGTGTCCAGGGGCCAGTTGTCTCATTATCTGTCCCATGGCTGTAGGCTATTTGCAAAATAGCAGCTATTCATTGATACAATTCCATGATAATCTTTCTTTATTACACTGAATAAACAATGCAACTATTAATAAGGCACAGTTAGTTATTGCCAAGAACCGCGGCTTTACATATTTTCACAGTCAACACATTTACTCATTGTACAAATGAGCACAATGAAAAAGTTTCTGAACCCGTCTCTGTGCTGAACTGTGGAGTGGATGTAGTCCTCGGGCTCTTGTTGCAGCCAACACATTTTAAAAACAAACTCAGCTTTTGTCATGAGTCAATAAATGAGTCTGTGTCTCGTGGCTGTAGTCTGGTTGACAGACAGTGAGAGGACCTGTTGGGCCAGAGTGACACCAGCCCTCAGCTGACAAAGGCAAACACAAGTCTACTGGCCACAGTGCTAATATGACACTGATGATGCTTTATCAGTCAACAAAGCTGATACATTCAAGCCATATTTGAGTCTTAATCATCACCCTGGATGTAGATCAATATTTCTACCTTAACACATCCATACAATACATCAAACTGCTCTTGAGACCACCATGAGTGAGTGGGTTTTCTGCTCATTTATGTCAGTGATCTCTACCAGAAAATGCTGATGTAGGAAAGATGAATGAGGACAGATGAGATAAATGTTGCTGCATGTTGTCTGAAATAAACTCCATGTCAAGTCTAACACTACTGAAATTATAGGCCAAAGTTCCTATTATTGTTATTATTGCTATTATTATTATTACTATTAGCCTATTATTATTATATTAAATTGAGAGACACTATCAAGCTACATAGGCACATGTCTCCTGACTGTTAGTACTGAAATAGCTACAGTTAAGCGATCTGTATTGCATTGAATGAATCATACCTTGGTTGTCCTCGTCCATGATTGCAGCCTGTAAATCAAAATCAAAAATCCCCCCCACCAAAAAAAATAAAAAAATCGGTCCCAGAAACTTCCCTTGTACGATAAAAAAAAGGGGTCTAATTTGCAGCAAAATACGCGTCCTAATTTCCAGGACGCATTTGGTGCACAGGTTGTCTCACGGGCAGCGGCTTCTTTTAGGAAATGTTGTGGCCATTTACGCCTCACAGCCACGGCCGAGGCGGTCCCTCCGGTTCCGGTGAGCGGTGTGTCTCTGGAGCGGCAGCGGCGATGTCTTTTAGCACCACAGTGGCCGAGTATCGTTATCCCTCCAAATGCGCCTTCACTCCACTAGTATCGGGAGAGTAGTTGACATCGCTGCGTCAAGTCGGCCGACACGCGTCCGGAACCGAATGGGAAGTGCAGGTGACTTCGCCTTCAAAATAAAAGACTGTAAAGGTGTGACAGAAAGCGCGGTATTTGATTTTGGAGCCGAGAACCGGAAGTGTTTGTTGTTATTTCTGGGTACTTTGACACTATTTGTTAATCCCATCCCAGCTCCGCTACACAGCCCGTGCTGCGCGTCAGCAGTCATCGCTGATCAGCGCTCACGTGACTCCAGGCTATAGTGAGGTTATAATGCTTTCATTGATTATGCGACATGGTTTAATTGTGCTGAGAGGTTATATTTTAGTCAAGAATGTATGGGAATTTATATTAACATGTAGATCGGAAGAATTTATAATTAATATTACAGGGTGATTATTATACAGTTGTTGTCATAATTGATTGAATTGTAGATTTATTTCTGATGTGTGTATGACATTGTGTGTCAGTAAGTGTGTATTAGGCTTCAAATGTATTTTCAATCTTTATTTTCTTCACTCAGATGTGAGTTTATTAAGTAAAAATAAAAATGAGTTATGGTTGCTCTATTAAGAATACCACTCATACAATAAACACTTAGGCCTACTGTATATATTATATTGTATATGAGTTTACGCTCAGCTGACATTGTCATTAAGTTTTATCATTTTGAGGTTTGTACTATTGGTTGGACGAATCGATCTCCATCGATAAATGGAAAAAATAATCAGCAGATTAATCCATAATGAGTCCTATACAAAGTAGTTGTGGTGGTGGTCCACCTTGAATACTTTTACTTTTAATAGATGTTTTCCCACTAATATTTATGTACAATTTAAACATTTTCAATGCATTTTTACTAACAGCACACAAATACACTGTTAGTGAAAAGTGTAGTATTATTAGTACTTAAGTGCTCTGAATACTTCCTCCACCACTGAATACCAACATCAGATACTTTCAGATGTTTATGAATACATTTCCACACACAGATGAATATTTATTTGCTATCATATACAGACTGGTAGACACTAGGGTGGCATCTCCACGTTTCTTCTTATACTGTATCTTTCTCCATCTTTCATGTTGTGAAAGCAGGGCTTTATGGAGCAGGAACACAGGCAACACATTTTCAAGGAAAGATAGAAAGGTTTGTGGGGAATATTGTGTGCGATTCAGCAAATTAACCCAAAAGATCTCAAAATACTGAAAAATAGCACATTGCATCAATATACTCTGAGCAGGTACCAATCCAAAATATAAAAGACTGATTTCAGGTCAGACTATGAGGATTTGTAGATGAGACTCTTACATAAGCAGGTAGAGCCATCAGACTAGGAAATAGTGGGATGAAGTTCACACACAGAAAGAGAGAGAGCTTTACAGAGCTTGTTTCTACAACACACATGGTTTCAATTATAGCATTCCTGCCTCCGCAAAGAAGGAGGGGGTCTCACTTCCTGTGTGCATTACTCCAATGGTCAAGCATGAACAGATGTTTTAATGTATTCAGTCATTTGTTTATTCATAGGTGTCTCTTTTGGACAAATGTTTCATTCTCAATCCTCTGTTCTAAACAAAGTGACGGTCTCCAGACATAACACCAACAATTCTCCTGTCACTATTTCTTAGAGTTGTGAGGTTAAGGCTATAACTTAACAATGTATTTGTTTTAAGTGGAAGAAAAAGCAAATCATTTGGCTAATTTTCCATGTCTAATCAGATTGACTGATAACTGCTACTGCAGACATTTGCATGTTCACTTTTAATGGATTGTTATACTGCCAGCTGATATAAACAGAAATAAATCACCTTAAGTTTGCTTCCTCCAAATGAGTAATAGTAACAGGGGATGAGCAGACATTTTAGAGGCTAAAATGAGTCATTCACATAAGCAGGGTCAAGTTCACATAAGCAGGGCCAAAAGATTACACAATCCACTGAACCCCTTCGATCCAGCGCGATCCAGTCTTCTGCTGGATGACAAGAAGGAGAGAAACTGGAGACCTACAGCGAGCTTGTGAAGTTACACCTGGATAAACGCCCCTACCGTGGTGGGTAAGTGTGACTATATCAGCTCTCCAGGAATGGCTGGATATTTGGATACATGCATCCAGACAGTGTTTGTTTTCTCTGCATTCTGGCATGAAGCGTGGGCTGTGAAGACCTAACCATGTGTTTTTAAAGGAAATTCCTGGAGATGTCGCAAAGAGATGTGTATATTGTATTTCTTGGTAAGTTTGAATCTGATGCTGACTGAGAATGAGAAAACGAGGAAATAGGGGGTGTTTTAGTGAGGGGAAATCTGGGTGAAGCCCCTCCAGTTTGGAGCCAAGGAAGAGTCTTTGCCACTTCAATTCCACTAGTTATGAGGTTTTACATACAAGGTGGATTGATGCAAAGTAGTTACCACACAGAGCAAGCCCTGCTTTGAATATTCTCTGTGCTACAAGTGGAAAATAGGTCATATGCATAATGTTGGCAATAGCTTTGGGAATATGCTTAGACAAATAAAGAGTTACTGTCCATTTATGTCAGTGCCGGACCTGGTCAAGCAGAGCGTCCTCATTGTGAGGCGGAGTAAGTTCCATTAAAAGCAATTAGATCCCTCAGTCTGTCTTCCTGGCACACAAACACACTCAGTACGCTCTATTCCACATAAATGTCATGCTAATGTGTTTATGAGTCATAAGAGAAATCTCTCACTGTGGCCCAGATACCCTCATGATGAGAGGGAATGTGAGCACACACAATTTAAAAGCTGTGAAATCAACAAAATTTTAATTTGGTTCAGTCGATTTAGAGCACGTTACACTTAACTGGACTCTTTCACCTCCAAACCGCGGAACAAAGGCCACGAAGTCATAGCATGGCTTGAAGTGAACAAGCGTGGGGTATTAGGGCCGTCTGACCCATACCCCCAGGGGGACACACGTCTGGCAGATTAGGGCGACCATCATGGGAAACGTCTGTGGTACTCCTGACTGACTTCACGTGACCTGATTGAGCAGTCAGAGCTCTTCATATGCTCCAGTCACCACGGCAATGCCCAGAGGGTGATCACCTACTCTCTTTAAAACTGATGACACCCCCCACCCACAATTACACACACACACACACACACACACACACACACACACACACACACACACACACACACACACATGCACAAGGAAGAAATTGTGGTTACAACCTTGTGAATTATAGGACCTTGTTGAGGTTATTAATTTGAGACATTGAAGCTGTGATGCAGTGAATTTCATTTCAATTTGGAGGTGAGTACCACCCACTTTGGTCCACACTGAGATTTTAACTATTGGATGGATTGCCATTAATGCTCAATAGTTTTCACTTATCCTGTGAAATAATTCCACATCTGACAGATGAATTGGCACAAAATTTGGTACAAACGTTCATGGTTTGCAAATGATGCATCCTAGAAACTCTGACTTTCCTAATTTGCTAATTTGGAAATGTCAGCATGCTAAGCTAAATTAAGATGATGAACATGATGAACTTTATAATTGCCCATGTTGTTGTCAACGCACTATTACATAATACTTTGTTTGTTTGTTTGTTTGTTTGTTTGTTTGTTTGTTTGTTTGTTTGTTTATGTGGTAGCTAGGGAGATTCAAGCCTTGAAGCTACCGCTATTGAGGTTCAGCAAAATATAGAGGAAACATAAGACGCACGTTTTAGTTGATGAAATGTTCAAACATTGTTTTATTAGGTGTGTAATGACTACACATTTTTGCAATTGGACATTGTAAGAATCCCTTTAACAACAATGATAAATGAAAATGTAAAAAAATAACCGTTATTTCTTTACATATAATTTTTTGTCAAAGCTACAGGGAGCCACTGAAGAGGGGCCACATGCAGCTCTGGAGCCGACCACTGATTTAGCACAAAGCACTGTGGCGCTAGCAATGGCTGTACTCTAAAATCACACATTGAATTTCACCACAGAAATACTCTGATTTAATAATTTTTGCCCCCTTTTGTGAGGCTGATCCGGAAGTGATCTTTTTTCCACTGATGTCTGGGAGTTCCCCGTCCATCTTCCTCTATGTGTTAATAACCCAAATCATGGGATAGACTGCCCAAAACCAGGAGATGTGATGAGGTTTTCACGCCTCCTTCCTGTTGTGGAAGGTAAGAGGGGGTTAATCTTTGGGTGTGTGTGACAGAGGTCACAGGAAGCAGAGGGCAGCAGGATTTCCTCCTTCCTTGGCGTTGGTTTAATATCCAGCTCCGCATCTCGACCACTTCTTTCCTGCCGCCATCTGATCGAAGGGCAAAGTTGACTTGATTTTTCTGTATCCAAGGACACATATGAGTAGAGTCTTTATTTGGAGTCTGCTGGGCACAAAGGCAGCAGTGTATACCAGAGAACCTGTGTGTGTGTGTGTGTGTGTGTGTGTGTGTGTGTGTGTGTGTGTGTGTGTGTGTGTGTGTGTGTGTGTGTGTGTGTGTGTGTGTCTACATTTAAAGTACAATCCTCCAAGCCCTGCTGTGGTGTCATAACAAGCCGTAAAGGTTATTCCTATAGCATATAGTTAATTCTCAAACTTTACAAAAAAGGTTTTACACCCCAAATACTCAACTATGAAATGAAAACCTATCATGATTATCAGTTACTGAAGATGTTATTCTAGTGATTATCAGATTATGTGACGACGGTACTGCAGTATAAGAGTGCAACATGCTGGATCAAACAATAACATAAAAGCATGAAGCATCAATAGCTGAACTATGATCCTTTAATACCTCTCTGTGATATATAAAAATATAAGCTGTTAAGTCAAATGCAGCCAACAATTTACACAGATAATGTAAACCTATCATTATATTCAATATACTGATGCTGCTGGAAAGAAAATGCTGCAAAATAAAGAGTAACATTTACGTTTTTTGAGACCGTCCATCACAGAGCTTATTATGAAATTAAAGACTTAATACAAATACAGATTTTTCATGCTGTGCACAATTTAAAACTGTGTTTATCCAACAAATGTATGTAGGAGTGTAAATTATTTTTAAAAAAGAGGAAAGTTCACAATATGAAAACAGTAAAATGTCACACTAGCACCTCCCCAGAAGAAACACATATTTGAATGCTCTTTTGGTTGTATGACCTATTTCAGTGCTACAATATGACTACAGCAAATATAACACACACAAAATCTCCCTCCTCCACATTTCCCTCTCTCTCTCTCTCTTTTTGCTTCCTCCTTGTCTCCTCCCCCACTCCTTTGATTCAGTTTTGAGGTCAGCTCATCTCAGCACCTGATCTCATCCTTTTAAACCCTTTGCATACGCCTCTCGTCCAACAGCATTCAAACTGAAGGTGTAACTATTCAAGTAACCACAAAAAGGACGTTACGGCTCCGGCAAAACCTCAGATTGAGGGTGAGGGGGATCAGCGTGAATCACAGTTTAAAGACTAATGCATCAGAGCTCAAATCATGTGGATTAATATTTGATTACATTTAGCATTGGTAATCCATTCTCCATGCATGGGCGTGATGTATTAATGTATGTCAGTCATCCTGATGGACATCATGTCACAAAAAAAATGTTGTTGTTTAAGCGAATAAACATTTGGGATGTGAAGTATATTATTTTTTTCTTCTTCATTTCAGTATCTTGATTCAGGTTTTAAGGTATGAAACATTTGTCTGGTGCAGGAGCTGATTCCAAACAAAACATGACATTTAAGTTTCTCCAACTTTGTAAAAATCAGGCCTTATTTCCTGTTTGGTTGCGAAGCACAAAGCTGATGGCAGACAAACAGTTTGAATTTTTTAAAATTATGTGTAACAGAGACGTGATCTAAAGGCTCAAATATGTGGTGTGGAAAATTGCATTGCGATTGGTTCAACTTTACAGGGAAAAGAGTTTGATTATGGATAAAAAACAATGTTATTATTGCCAAAATAAATGAAATAATGGATTTGTTGAGTGAAGGAAACTGTGGAGTTCAGTTCAGGAGTTTCTGAGTTTCTTTTTATTCACCTGCTATAGATTTATATTTCCTGTGTGTTTTGTATCATAGTCCCATAAACTCTGGGATATACTGTATGTTCCCCAGGCAGTTATTTTAAAGTAATAGTTTGACAATTGTAGTTAGTTATAAAAAGCAATACTACATCAATTGTAGTAAATGTGTAGCAGGAGCCTGCAGTTAGCTTATCATAAAGACAAGAAATGGGAAAACAGCTAGCCTGGCACTGTTCAATAATATCTCCCTGTTATATCTTATTTGTTTAATTCGTACAAAAACCAAGCCAAACGGCATATTGTTGTTTTTACACTGCAGTTTTGTACAGATACATTTGGACAGAACCAGTCTAGCTGTTTCAAGACTTTATGCTAAGCTAAGCTAAGCGGCTACTGGCTCCAGGTATATTTGCCTTACAGACACAAGCATAGTATCAATCCTCTGCTCAAACTCTTGGCAAATAAGTAAAAACTATTGAGTCTCAGAGACAGACTTTTACTATTGAGATTAGGAGGTTTATAAAGTGTACACAGGCTCTGGAAAAGGGACTCAAAAGAGGCAACTTCTATAAGTTTACATGGAATATAAAATAAATCATCCGTAAACTGGTTTAATCAAACCTAGATAAATGTAAACACAACACCAGCATTTCCAAATGTATACACAAAACAAAATCCAAAGACACCAACTCTCCAGATCCCACAGAAATAAAAATAGTTTAAAGTTTATGAATAATGTGTAAGAAAGTGGGTTGTACATTAAATATACTGCATTGCAGCTTTAATTGAATCCCTGCCATTTCCATTCGCAGTATTATCACTCTTTCACACTCAGTCAAATAAAACACGTGAGCTGCTGCAAATGCCAAAGGCTAAAACTCTATAATCTTTATTCCACAACCCGCTTTTTTTTTCTGAGGGTACAAATGGTGGTTGGCAAAAACAGAGTAAAGATAACCCGACTTATCCTTCATCTATAGATCTCTCTCTCTCTCTCTCTCTCTCTCTCTCTCTCTCTCTCTCTCTCTCTCTTTGTCAGTGCTCTGTGATAACCCTATTAAAATATTTTCCTCTGGCAAATCCCTGAGAAATAAATCCTCTTTTTCCAGAAAAAAAGTGTGTGTGTGGGGGGGGAGGTTTGTCTGTCACATGGAGAATACAGTTGCCTTGGCAACCCCTGATGGTTTTACACTGCAGCCTGGCATCAGCGTGACTGGTTATGATAAGTTTGCTGGGGACATTTTGCGCTGAGCAAGGGTGTCAGCCGTTTGAAAATTTAAGTGCAAGGGGGATGCCAAATGGGTCTGCTGGCTATACATTTGTTCATTATAGGTGGTCACTCTCTCCTTAAATACATGGATCACAGAGGATTTTTAATTTATCTGTATCAGAGAGAGAAAAGAAGCAAATACACCTCATAGTGCAAGTTTACATTCCCTCTCCGGAAGCATACTTAGGAATGACACATTTGGTAAAAGTTTAAATCATTGTGTAAGAGTAAAACTGATATTATCATGAATATAATATCATGACAAATTAAAAAGCAGAATTAGCCGTACAGGAATAGAAATTCTTGTTTTCTTGCAGCTTCATTGTCCCTGTATCAGCCAGTATCGTCTTCAGAGAGGTTGACAGCTCAGGATGTCTGTCACCAACATATAAAGGAGGTGATTCTCTATTACTACTACTGATAGCCTGCTTCCCCCGTGTGGACAGCTCTGGTACTACAACACAATCATGTTTAACCAAGAAGTCGGTCTGAAATATCTCAACAGATACTGACTACTTTTTACTGTGATGTCGCAGTTGTAGAAATTACCAAAATAAAAGTTCAGTAGTTTGTCCCATGTAATCTGTATGTGTCAATATGGGAGGTGACTAAAATCCCCAAAAGGTGAAAGGGTTTTTTATGTGGAAGATTGAGGCAATTAAAGACACATTTTCTTATATCTGGTTGTACTTTAAACGGAGAGCCTTAAGTTGAAGCTTAGAAGTGGGATTTGTTGGAGGAAATTTCCAATGAAGAGGCAAAAAAATATAAATTATGGATGATTCAGAACTTAAGGATGACTTATGTAGGATATGTGTTTTAAATCAATGGAGTTTCAAGGAACTTTTAATCATTATTTTATTATTATAATTATTATTATATGTGGGGTATGGTGTTGTTTTTTTTACATTGTTTTACAAATTTTGGAAATGTGTTATTATTACGATCTTAATTCTTGCGTTTATGAATATTCGCTCAGAGCACAAAGTGTTTTTCTTTCAGCTTTAATTTATTGATATGTGGATATTACCAGCAAAGTAGTGATGGGAATTCTTCTTTTTAGTGAGCCAGATCATTTGGCTCAGTTCAGCAGTGAGAACCGTCTTTTTCTGCTCCCAAACAGCTTTGTTTATTTCAACTTCTTGCTTTTATAATCCAGACATATGATTGGCAGTGTCACACATATCACTTAAATTACCCAGTGTAACTATACTAAACCTTATAATTTCTAGAAGGCCACAATTTTACATTATACTTGGTATAGAAACCCTATTACATGTGTTTAATGTCTTATTTATATATATATATATGTCTGTGATCTGCGCAAGATACAAAAGTCTCACTATTCTTACCAAAGTGAAACATTTCTGTATTGTATTTAACAAATATGTTATAGGATCATTCGATTATTCTGTCTTGTTTTTATCTACACACGCCATGGGTCGCCTTCCATGGAGTCCGCCATGTTTCTACAGTAGCCCAGAGCGGACAAACCAAACACTGGCTCTTTCCCCAGTTGTCAAATACGTACAGATACAAGCAGTGTCAGTTACTTCACTTCACTGCTAGATGCCATTAAATCCTACACACTGGTCCTTTAACTTGGAAAAACTGGAAACTAGTCGATTCTTTAAGATATGATGATGTTGTGAATCCTGTCATACATATAGACCTATGTTTCTTTATTTTTGTATGTATGTTTCTCTAGGTGTCTAGTGTAAAGATTTATATTTTCTTCCACTTCTGCATAACAAGAGATAAAAGTTCAGGGGAAAATGAAAGAAGCTGAAGGGAGAATTGCCACATTTTGCTTTGTATATGTTCAAAGACATGGAGGGCCATATGTATAGATTAAAGAAACAAATAAAAATGTAATCTATTGCATCAGTGTTCGTCCAAAACTTCTTCAAAACACCCTTAAAAATGTGACAAAACATATGTAAAAAAAAATGAACGACAGAAAAGGCTCAGAATAGTGATTTCATTAATTTATTACTTCCCAAAGTCAATCATCCTTACTCTCAGTTCTGTGACTTCAAACCTCCTCACACACCTTTTCACAGAAATAAAAACTTGTGACAAATGCAGCTAAAAAAAAAAAAAATAAAAAAAAATTATTTTGCATGTAGCATTTTTCACCAATGACACCTTTCAGTGCCAATGATATGCAGAAACACAACAATGAGTGTGACGACGTGTGCGTACGAACACAATGAAGACATGCAATGATTCCCTTTGAGACTGTGCTCAACGACAGACTGTAAATTTCCAGTAAAACGGTCGTGGGTAGCTGTACCGTCAATCCGACAACAAAAACCTCTGCTGAAAGACCATGTAACCGCTTATACAGCTAACCCCAACCTTTAAGTAAAGTGTCCATGCCATATAGGACGAAAAAACATGCTTGTTTTGTGTCATGCGGTGTGTAGATATTTACTTGTTAAATTAAAGTGAGATGTTTACACTGAGCACCTACATGTTGGACAACAAAGAGTAGCTACAAAGTTCACAGTAACAATCATCTTCTCCCCCCCCATGTTGCAAAATCCACGTCAAAGTCCTCGATATCCAGAGGAGGAGGATCCATCCGACACAATCCTCACGGACACGACGAGCGGGTGCTGAATCTCAGGTGGCAAAGGTCAAATGTGAGGCGTTTCTTCCCCCCTTTCATCCTCATACAGGACCATTTTTTTTGCACAAAATCTCTGCCGTCCTTTCCCCCCCAACCCCCCTGCAAAGGCACTGGGCTCATGTGACGACGGCTGACCGCAACAACCAGCCACAGCGTCACTTTGTTGCATCGTCACACCAGCTTGCAGAATTACGTGTCCTCTTCCTCCCCATCTTCCTCCGTGTCGCTGCGCAGCGCCGGACAGTTTGTTTTTATGAGGGCTGAAACATGGCAGTGCTCACAAGTGATTGTTTGGAGTCCAAATGCAGGCATCGGAGGTTCAGTGGATTTCGATGTGGACCTGAGAACAGATGAGGAGGCTGTCAGGCAAAAATGAACGTTAACAAACTTTAAAGAAGCAGCACACACTCAGTTTTCTTAAGATAGTGAGTTCATTTTGGAGGCTGCAGTTTGTGATGCTGTTTAATTGTAAATGCATTTAGAGCTGAAACAATTAGTCAGTTACTCGGTTAGTTTATTTATTGGCTCAAAATTTGATATTCAATTATGATTGACTGGATGTAAACACAGGAAGTGGTTGAACTAACAATGTTAATAAATTAAAAGTACTGTGTATACATACATAAGTATTGGCAGCAAATAAAATGTCAGTTGCCATTTGAAGAGTAAAGTGGATGTGTAGAGGTTGACAGTAGTTTGAAACTGTCATTTAATTGTCAATTTAATAGTTTAAATGTCATTTAGTCATAAAAATCCATTCAAGTGTCAGCTGATTGGCTGATAATCAATCAATCAAGTTATCTGTTAAACAAAAATGCCAAATAAATAAACAAAGAATTGCCGGTTCCAGGACCTCAAATGAAGACTTTCTACTTTAGTTTGTTATATATCTATAGATATATATATCTATATATATATCTATATATATAGATATATATATATAAATTGTGTCTTGTGATGGAAATTAGAGCCAGAACAAAGACTCAGTCAGGCTGCTGTATCGGCCTAATTGCAGATATTTACTTGCTGCAGATATATCAATATCAGTGAATATGTCAGCAGATAAGTAACAAGAAACTGCAGTAAGGTGACTATTATACTGATTTTCCAACTGTAAAATATCCTGATCAATATGTATCTCGGCCACACTTTAAAGAAAAAACACAAATAACATAAAAAATCTACAGGATGCAGAAGTTTAAACAAATTACTCTCGGCAGATATATCATTATAGGATTGTTAAACTCCCAGATATCAATATCAGTACAATGGAAATGTTTTACCATTTTACAACATTTCATAGATCACTAATCAACAAAGTATTCAGCAAATGAATCCATAATAACAGATAGTTAGCTGCAGCCCTGACTGCGTTATATAGACAACTGAGCCCAGTATTTAGTCTACTCTCATTGATATCTCTCACCCCAACTGGTCGAGACAAACACCACCCACCAAGAGCCGGAGGTTTCCATTTCCCTTTTAAAATTTTTCCCTTCCTCTTCTCCTTTGTGGTGGTAAAAATAAAAAAAAAAAAAAAAAAAAAAAAAAAAAAAAAAAAAAAAAAAATTGATATGGACAACATGTCTGGTTTAACGTATTAACTGCATTTGTAATTGATCACATAGGATTCATTGCAGGCATTAAACTTTATATGTTATAAATAAACTGCTTTAAAATGGAGTAAAAACCATTAACAGTGTCGTTCATTCAACCATTGAACCGCAAATATTCTCAGTGCCATAACTTCAAACAGCACCATGTTCACAACTCACTCAACATAAAGGGCCTGTCCCATCAGCTGCTGGCTTTATTTACATCAGCAAGCTGGTGAACTCACGTTGTTTTCACTTTAATCATTAACGACCCGTGTTACCTGCAATCTGACGTTAAACATCATCGAAGCGACGAGGTAGATATAGGGGAATCTGATTCGTAGTCGCCATGCGAGATCAAAAAATATCAATAAAGTCCTCGTCAAGCCTTTGGAAAACACTCCGTACGTCCGACCAGCGGAGCCCGAAAACCGGAGCACTAAATATGTCAGACCCGCCATACGGGCGAGCAGCCTGGCCCCGCGGTTGCTAGGGTTACTGTGTCAGTTAGAGAGAGGCGAGCAAGCGCGAAGTGACGGTTGACGGTTGGCTGTTCATGCTCCTATCGCTGACTGACACCGAGCTCCATTTTTCTTTTCTCTCCTCTGTTTTTGTTCATCGGCTGGTTGTGTTGGCGGAGCTGCTCCACCCCGACAGCTTCCCCGACGGTTCCGGTTCCTGGTCAATAAGAGGACTCATAACGGTGTGACACACACACGGAAGGGTTTGCCCTGACTTTAGACTGTCAGGCGGATGGTTTTGTTTTTATATAAATGATCAAAACAGGGTTACTTTACTCATTTAATCTGATACAATTACTAATTACCTGTTTAAAATTAAGTTATTAACCGAGTATCACAATATTAAAGTGGATCTGGATTACCTCAACACCAAATATGTAAATAAAAACAGGAGAAAGGAAGTATTGATGCAAGTGTATTCAATAAAACAACAGAGCAATGTAACCTTTAAAAACATGATACAAACAGAAACTTTTTAAAGTTTTTTAGCATCAAAAATGTGAAAAAAACTGATGTATTTTAAAATTGTAATCCTGCTAAATAGCCCCCCCATTTTTATTAAATGTAACTGTAATCTGATTACGTCTGTTTATTTTCTGTTACTGTTAATGGATTACAGTTTTTTGTATCCTGATAACATAACTCAATAACATGTAATCTGTAACTGCCCAAGGCCTGCCTACATACAATATACAAACTAACAAAACTCCTCATACGACCATAAAGTATTGGAAAAAACAATAAATATTAAAATAACCACATAAAATAACTTTAAAAAAAAAAAAAAAAAAACTAAAATAATCTATTGTGAGATGTAACAGCCTACTTTTTAACAAATTAAATTATGGTGCCATATTCAATTAGTTAATAATAATAGGCACATTCTTCTATTTAATCTATTTATTTTTTATGTATGTGGAACAGCATTTTTTATTTTTAGACAGCCCATGTTCTAAAAAGCACTGCAAAACTGCCCTCTTGGATGCCCGTAGATAAAATATGATAAAATGCCCTCTAGGGTGCTAATCCTTCATCCCAAACCATAAATGCATCACAACTTTGTGCGAGCTGGTGCCCTTTTTTATTTTTCTGCCCCTGTCCCTCAAACAGCCTCAGTCGACTCCTGAATGATGATCCTTATTATCAATTAAGATGATTTTTTGTCTTAATAAACTAACCATTTACAGTCTATAAAATTACATAATTGTCAAATTTCAACGTCAAAAAGCAGCAAATCTTAACATCTGAGAACCAGTGAATGCTTAGCTACATATTCGGTGATTAACTTTTGATTTTTCGACTAATTCATTCATTATTTCCAATCAAACCTATGCTTTTTTTTAACGTTTTTGAAATGTCTTTGAAAAATGAAATAAAATTAATTATTATTATTATTATTATTAATCAGCTAGTCATATATATGTATGTATATGTATGTATATATATTACAGCACTTCATTCTGTAGTCTGTTTATCTGCTCACTTTCTCCTTATAAAATACACATCCATCTAAATAAATTTCATGTAGCCTATATATCATATAATAAAAGATCCATAGAGTATTACATATCCAGTCTTTACCTCTCCAACATAGGTTGGACTGGATATAAAATAAGATTGAAATTCTAATAGAAACCTAATGTATAATTAACACAAGACCTGTTATCACCAACTAGCAATATCTTATGTCGATTTAAATTCCCCAAAACATCTCCCTGAGGTAAAGGGTTACATCTTGTTTGAGATTTTAATGTACTTATTGAAGCATTTTTAAAACTTATAAAATTAATTTCTCTTACAAATCTATTATCTATTACAAATACAGACCCAACAAACTGTTTTTGCATACATTTTCTCAGTTCCACTTGGTTGTTGACAACTTTTATCCAGCACATATGTTCTTTTTGCTTACAGCCAGGTGGGTGGGGCCCTTCAGTGCACTAGGAAGAGGTTTCTCTACTACACACACATTAGTGAGGCCTGGTTGGCTGTATGTGTGGCACTGAAATGTATCTGTATCTGTTTTACCTTGAGGTATTTGTACTGCTGGATGTGACAGTGCCATTTACAATGTGTTTATTGTTAGTACAGGTAGGGCGCAACCTGAAAGACCGACTCCAGGGAATACAGGAGAGCGTGTTCAGCGACGTCATTTCCTCAATCCGTGTCACACTCTTAATTGTCCGTCTTACTCGTTATTTACTATAATCTCCTTAAAGAGGCCAAGTTAAAAATTTATTTCCAAAAAAACACGACACGTTTTGTGCTCATTTATCTCTGAATGTAAAGAAACCGGCGGATTCCCAGCTGTCTTGTTAAAGTTTGAGTGGGCGTGTATCGGGACGAGTACACCGGATGCACCATCTGGTGGTGGCTGGATGTTTTTTTTCCTTCCTCAGGGGTGGTGGCCGCTGTTTGGCTTCAGAGCTTCCCGATCAGCACACGAAAGCATGGGAATGTTGCGAGGGAATTTCTGAGTAAACTTGTGTTAAAGTGCGAGATAAGTTACTGTAAGTTCCCCCACACGCTGTTCCACAACCCAGGAGCTCCGCCGTACCACCGAAAAGGCCGTTAGCGGACCGCGGTTGTGACATTTTCACCGGCGATCGATCCCGGACAAAGGAAAAGAGACTTGTGAGCTAACGTTAGCTGGCTCCCGGGCTAACTTAGCATTCCTCTAGCTGCGGCGCAATGCAGGCCATAAAGTGTGTCGTTGTCGGAGACGGGTGAGTTAAAACCAACATCGAGCTGATTCAATGTGAAGTCCGTCGCCTCTCGTCCAGTTCTTTAACTTTAAAGGACGATGTGTAACGTTAGCTCACAAACTCAGCTGTCACCGGACGAGCTGGCTTTAAAAGCGTTTCGCTCCACATATTTCTGAACGGGGTGAAGTTAGCTAGGCAAGGTTTAACTTTAACTAACTTTATACCTGTTTATGTTACATGGGTTGTATGTTACCACATTGGTTTAATGGTTAACTTATGTGCTTTACTGAGTCGAGTTATTCGCTTTTAATAATGTGTAATATTATTGATAATGGAAAACATTACAAAATAGCTAGTATGCGAGTGTGTGGGCTAATCTTTGACTTAACGCTAAATGAATTGTTGTCCTCACCCTTGAGGTGAGTCAGACACCACTGGGCAGTTCATATATCCCTCCTTACCACAGATTAAGTTTCAGTTTGGCAACAATGGAGAAATATAGAGAGTTAAGCGCTTTGTTTATATCCGACATTTGACTGGTGATAGTTGCTGTGTACTGTTAATGTTGTGATACACAGGCGATGTGTTTTCAGCTCCTTTTTTAAAAGTTAAAACCCTTTTTGGGTCTTGCAACAGCTAAATGATTGGTCAGCTAAAACAGTCTTTCAGATGTGTAACAATATGTGGGAGGAAAATACATTCATAACCTCTTGTCGAGGGTGTGGTGGATACCACAGCAGCAGAGTCATTCAAAGGCCTATGACTGTGTTTAATGGATTATTTTAAAGGGGGGGACCTTGTTTTTTTTATAATAATGCACACAACACTTCGGTTTCATATTTGAGAAATAGAAACTCCTCTAGTGGTCTTTTATGCATATCTTGCAAAAACAAAATCCATGCAAGTCTGTTCTCTTAAAGAAAAGGGAAGACCAGGGTGCATTTAACATTTATTTGTTTTTTAATTGGAGACTTGAGTAAAGCTGAAACGATCGGTTGATTAATTAATGATCAGACTGGCTGAGATTCCAAAAAAATCTGAGATTTGATTAATAGTAAAAGTCTTAAAGTCTAAGTATAAATGGCAAAGAAAAAATCGCTGGTTATGGCTTCTACTATTGGGTTCATAGTGTTTTTCTATGATAGTATACGGAATATATTTTGGTTTTCATAGGTTGGACTGTAAGAAGAATCTGAATATTTCAGTTTGGGGAAATATGATGGGCATTATTCACTTTTTTCTGACATTTTGTTGCCCCAATACATAATCGAGAAAACGATGGACAGATTGAAAATGACTAATTGTTAATTGTATCTAAGGCCGCACAATTAAAAGAAATATTATCAAAATTGCAATATGGCCAATGTAAATCGCAGAAGCTGCAATTTTTTAAAGAAGAGAAAATGTGTGACGAAAGCGCACATATTGGAAAACATGTTTGTTTGGTACAGACCCTCTAAAAGTTCATATCATTATGATTTTAATTGGGGTTTTTTTTTCAGTGAAATTTTAAATTTGTGATGCAAAAAAATTTAATTCACACTAGTCGTGAATCATGTTGCAATATCTGTCAAAATAATCTCAAAATATAATGTTTTTACCATATCGTGTAGTCCTAGTCGCGACCTTACTGTTAACCTGCTGATGAGGAGCTACAAGAACAAAAGGCAGTTGTACGAAAGAGTGATCCATATCAACTCGTACCCAGAATGGCTGTTTGCATGCCCGTTTTTTGGCAGACGGAAATCATAAACAATAACAACTCATTTTCCCTTTCCTTCACCCTGCCAGAGCTGTGGGTAAGACCTGCCTGCTCATCAGCTACACCACCAATGCCTTTCCTGGAGAGTACATCCCCACAGTGTGAGTATCTATCTGGGACTGCAGCCCAGTGTGACTTATTTATTTATTTATGTAAGACTAGAAGCTGACAATAGCAGCCCATCATTTGTCTCCACCCTTGTGTCCTATACAGCCGCTACATAATTAAGGTGGCGTCTTGCTCTTCAGTTACTCTTTTTAGATGACAGTTTGATTTTCTTGCAGAACAGGTTACAATCACTGCTGTGGACTGCAACACAGCATTAAAAAAAGGTTTAGGGAATATGATATTGCGGGAATTTAAGAGGAAAACCTGCTCCCTAACTGCATCTGTGCGAGCTATGTAAACTATTTTGATCTGTATCGCTGTCAGTGTGGCATGGGCTGGCTCAGCAGCCTGCAAACAAGACTTTGGTTCGTAAAGAGTTAGATTCAATAAGTGATGAGTCATTTACCAGAGAGGGCTGAATAGGTAAAAGGGCACAGGTCAATTAAGATGTTGTTTTCCATCTTAAGACTTAAGTTTTGTGTTTAGTTCCTGTCACATTTTATGTACGTGTTCATATTTTATTAGTAAATATTAACCCTGATGATTTTATCTCATTTCACATCATCACCTCTGTCAGGTTCGACAACTACTCCGCCAATGTTATGGTGGATGGGAAGCCGGTGAACCTGGGCCTTTGGGATACAGCAGGACAAGAAGACTACGACAGACTCCGCCCACTTTCATACCCACAGACGGTACATTAAAAAAAACAAATCAGACAATGCTGTGTTATATTTGAACTATTATCATTCTTTTGATGTCTATTGCGTAATACATTTGGAAGGTGTGGGACCCTAGAGTGAATAAGGAAGTTGGAGGGAAAGAAAAACACCCCACCTTTTCGTACGACATGAACACAAGAGTGTGTACTGTTCTCAGCAGGAAGGAATAGTTATGGGCTCTGATTGTATTGTTTTCTTTCTCTTATCAGGATGTGTTTCTCATCTGCTTTTCGCTTGTAAGTCCGGCCTCATTTGAAAACGTCCGTGCCAAGGTGAGTCGATGCCGTGCCTGTGTGTTGAAATGGGTGGAGGCTGTAAAGGTGTCTGCATGGAACAGTTTTATGACATGGCATGAGGATTTTTATTTAATTACTGGTTTCTTCAGAAAATCCAAATGCAAGTAATCCTTCTCTTTTTCATTACGGGCATTACGGATTATTAAAATCTGAGAGGTTTTGTCTATGTTAAAGCAGAAGTCTGGTTTTGTTCATTAGCATATATCTTTTATTGCCTGTATCTATCTGGTGGAGTGTGATAAAACAACAATAATTGCAAATTTACTGTGGCTAAAGACTCTGCGGTTGAGACATATTGATCAGATTTTGTGGGTTACACTCATTTGGTTGATGATGCCATCTAATAAAACAACGAGTTAAAAACACTTCTTTCCCGTGACTATACCTCGAGATTGTATCATAAAGTCAGTATAGTGTGTTGGGCAGTCACCTTTGACCATAGCTGGGGGTATTTAGTACCACAGAGACATCTCTTTTATAACTTGAAGTGACACATAAAAAGCACACACTGATGCGTTCAGTAAATAGTTTAATCACTATTACACAATTTGTCCACACCATGAAGTTTTTAAACTTCAGGAGGAAGTTTGAACACACTTGGATAATATTCCCAGCTGCACATTACCTGCACTGAACAATTGTCCTTCCTGACACAGACCGGTTTAGTATAGCCAACCTTCATCCTGTTAAGACATGTTGAGACTGATAGTGGGCTTACGATAAACAACGCAGCCCCCTTGTTCATTCCAATGGAGCCAGTCTGTCCTCGCAGCCGGGCGGGGGGCTCTGGCAAAACAACGCAGCTCGCAGCTTGAACCAAGCTCACCTTTTGCTGTAGTGCGACACCATCTGACAGGGTGCTGCAGTGACCAGTCAGTACATGCAGGTGTACACCCCCAGTTGATTACTCGTGTTGTGAACTCTGTATTTGTAATATTTATCTTGTGAAGGATTATCACTCACTGCAGCTCAGGGCAACCCGAGACGACTTTGTGAATATGAAATGTTTATAGACTAAATAAGATGATGACTGCAGATAAAGAATATGCCAGCTGAGCAGTATTTGCAGGCTGTCCATTAGCCCAAATAAATTATAAATGCCACATTTCGGTCAGATTGAGCTGATCGAAAGGCCTTATTTATGCACTGAGATTATCTGTGTTTTGTATCTAGCTAAGGCCGTGGAAAGAGCCGCAATCAATTTATTTCCCATACTCCCTCTAGACTGCTGACCATATACAACAAGGCATATATAATCATCTCCACACTTATTTTCAACCCTTCTGTCTGCATTAGAATCACCAGTAACTCGTGTTCATAGATGGGATTAAAAAGGTACACAGAGCCTTTTCGTAACTGGATTTTTTGACTCCTGTTTTCCTGCTGCACCAATGCTAAGCCACGTAACTCGAATAGAGCCCAAATAAAGCCAAAGTTGCCACTTGAAGGCCTTTTTTACGTTAACAAGCTGGACCTATTTCACAAACCATGCTGTAGTTTGAATGTGCAGAAAGCTTTTGTTTGCAGCTGTAAAGCAGCTAAAATCCATGATTTACAATGGGATCACATGACTACTTGTATGGGAAGGGAGTCACTTATGTTGCGCTTCAGTCGTCGTTTAACATGTCCTAGTTGACTTCCTCTCAATACTTCCCCTCGGGGGAATTCCAGCCACCATCGTAAGTGTCTGGAAATCCAAGTGAGCGTGGTGACATCGGCCCTTGGAGGGCTGAGGGAGCGAGTCAACAACGATGGTCGCTCCAGACGTGTAAATCGTCCGTAATGTACTTCGTAAATGTAGCAAAGTTAAAGAGCTAATTTTCATCCATATGAAAATCACAACTCAAATTGTTTTCCAGTTTTCATTGAAATTCGTATAAGGTATTTCTGATGATTTGTAAAAATCCATATAGCGCTTTTGGCCTTCAACTGGTGATCGATCCACAATAGTTTGGGCTGAATAGTGCATTGTAGTCCGCCACAGCTCTCCGGCCCACTTTCCCTCTGCTCTCCAAGTGGCAGACATACGTTACGTAATACCAGGGGCTGAGGATAAGTGAACGAGGGGAAGTGGAACTACTAATAAAACTCAATCATCACCTCTACAGTTCCCCTCTGCTCTACGGAGAATACGTCTTTCAGCTCATTGTTTTGGTTCACCCTCATAGCAAGCTCTGATAAAGCCACTGTAAGCTACCTGCTCAGCACTAAACAACAGACAGACACAGTTAGCTGCTATCTGGTGAACCTAATGGAGCATTTAGCAGCTAACAAGCCAGATATTTCCCCCAGGATATGATAGAGCCCAAAAATGAGTGAATATTGGTCAGAAACACAACTCCAAATGAAAGCTAATGTTCCTCTGTGTCTGCAGGATGTGTAAATAGGTAACTGGTTGGTAACAGATTCACCATTTACCATAATAGGTTACAATTCAGTATGTCAGTGTTTTGTTTACAGCTTTGGCTGAAGTAAGACTGCAGTTCAATTGTACATGGTCATTCTCGAAAATTGCATGTTCAAGATAACCTAGACAGGCGTGGAAAGTTATACCCCTAACCTCTTTGTGGTCTCTGTGCAGTGGTACCCTGAGGTGAGACACCATTGTCCCAACACTCCCATTATCCTGGTGGGTACCAAGCTGGATCTGAGAGATGACAAGGACACTATGGAGAAGCTGAAGGAGAAGAAACTCTCCCCAATTACATATCCTCAAGGACTGGCGATGGCCAAAGAGATTGGTAACAACACTTATTAACTTCACTGAGTTTTCTGTGACCTTGTTTTCCCCTGCTGAAATATTTAAAGAAATATATCGGTTTCCTCAGGTTCCGTCAAGTACCTGGAGTGCTCAGCCCTGACTCAGCGTGGCCTTAAAACTGTGTTCGACGAGGCCATCCGGGCCGTCCTCTGCCCTCCACCCGTCAAGAAGAAGGGGAAGAAGTGCTCTCTCCTCTAAGACTTCCTCCACTGGAACGGTTACAGGGGAACATGACCGCTAGTGGTGAGGGTGGCTAAAGACACAGGAGAAACACACCAGTATACATACATATATATATACACACACACACACACACACACACACACACACACAAAAACAATGTACTTCAGATTCTTTCCTTCCATAAGTGTAGCTACAGCAGTTATACCAACCGTTTCCATGAAAACAATTTGACATAGGGTCAGATTTAGGAGGTTGGAAGATCATAGACCCTAGTTCTTTCCCATCATCATATACTGTATAGACAAGTGAAATGAAATTCTTGAGGCCTTCTAAAATGGATTGGATGTTTTGTAAAAAAAAAATGGACCGTGGAATGTTTTCAATTTGTTTTTCCACTGGTTGTCAACCTTTTATTTTATTTTTTTGTTTACAGTCTTTATTGTTTTGAGTGGAAGAAACATTGCCAAATGCATTCTGCCGACGTGCTGTATTTTAGCAGAAGAAAAAAAAACCTTTTTGTTCTTTTGTCTCAGACCTTTAAACCTTCAAAATCCAGCTGACGATTCGCTGTCGTGTGCCGCTGTTTGTTCAGCTCCATGATCAATGGCATTATAGCAGTTTTTCAGTTTCACTTTGTGAGGGCAGTCATGTGTCACCGCACTGTCAACCAGGAACTTGAAGTAACCATCTGTGAAGTTCTTTTTTTTTTGCCTCAAATTAGTTAGCTGTTTTCAGTCCGAGCACACGATTCATGTTAATTCATTTCTAATGAATTGACTGATGCCTGAAACATACTGAAATCTCAGACTGGGAACAGATCTTCCGACACCAACAGTGCTATTACAACCTTTAAAAAAAATCAAGAAATGATCCAGTATTTTGTGTTTGGCTCCAGTCAAGTCTAATGGTATTTTCTTTCCTCTTTTGCAATGTTTCCCCTAGAAGTGTTTCAACTGTGTAGCTGCCCAGGAGTGCAAAGCTGAAAACTTTATTAGATATCGGATTAGAACTGTTTAGGTGTTTTGGTGGCGGGGAACAAGAGCACCTTTAATGCTCTGTGGGCATTTATCAGAAACCTTTTTGTGCAGCACATTATGATTTTTAATAGCATCACTACTGGCTAAGCAATGTCACTAAGAAGAGCATCAATGCCTGCTAATAACAGTAACAAAGCTACTGTCGGTTATGGTGTAGTATACAGTGTACTCATCTTTTTGTTATAATCATGTGATTTGACTTTTTTGTATCTTTCTCCACAGAAGTTACACTTCACTCACTGTATTGTTAAACTAACACTATGAATATCCTTTGTTTATTACCTCTACAGTTAACGCTACCTTAATCTCCCTACAAGCCTAGCTTTTTGTAATTAATGCTGATAGCATGTATGTGCAACATATACTGAAAACTAAGATTAGAATTGCTACAGTTATATTTTTTGCCTATTTACAAAATGTATTTGAACTACTAGATCAGGGGTTAAGTACATGTTGCTCATCTGTATTGTATTCAGACATCAAGCTGTGCTTTAATTCAAGCCAATGTTGTGACTCTTTAGTTTTATGGATAAAAGCTATTGTCACTTTTTGAAAAAGCCAATAAATTCAAGTAAAACCGATTCTATTCTTCTTCTATTCTGCCTCTTTGTTGGACAATGCAACCTCGGTTTTCCCTTGATGAAACAGAAAAATGTGAGATTTAAAAAAAAGAAACTGTTCGTAAGTACTTTGACGTTATTGTAAACATGGATTTGAGTTTATTATCCTAATACGGTGTGCGTCTGATCTTGTTTTAGGACTTGTATTTGTCCACAGAACATGGATAATACACAGTAATAAATATAGTTGAATCAACAATCTAAGAATTGGTGGCAGATGTATAGATGTACTTTAAAGTGGCAGTGAGATTTGTGTATATTTCTTGGTTTGACATAACACCCCAGCTGTCATCTAGAATGTGGCTATTGTTTTATGACACCTGGGCAGGTTTGAGGCTCTGATAGGGCAACATCACACAGAGGGGACAGCTGAATCAGTGCTTTGATTGTATGCACATAATAACTTATGAGGGAAAGTAAATCAGTTTTTATTACAAACCAAACCTGACACGTGTCATGTCAACATAATTGACGATTCATAAACCCACAAGGTTTTATAATACATTTTGGCACAGAATCTAAATCTGAAATCTTACATTACTATCTCCGTCTTCATACAAACACTTTGTACATCTTAAGCATTTCTCATCTTCAGTCTCTTCCTGGCTGCGACGAGCACCGATCAGTCTGTCTTGTTGCTGTGGTTCAGGAATCTACAAATCGCAACAATGTCCCTGAAGTTGTAGGTATGCTGGAAATAAAACAAAAGGGCATTATTCAGTAAATTAAGATGAAACAAACTGCAGGATTCACCAGTGGCCCAAGATTAGTAACACATCTGTGAGTCATTGTTGGATAGAAGTTAAAAATGGCTCATTGAAACAATAGTTTGTTATTTTCAAATCATATCTGTGTTTAACTTTAATGGGATCAGGCTGGCTGGTTTTAGACAATAACCAAAAGCACTTTTTTTAAACACCTGAGAGCCGGCCTCTAGCCTGTGGGTAACAAAACCCCTCAATTACTGCGCTGAGAGGATCATAAATGAGGGAGCAGCTGCTTGAGGTACCTGTCCTTTTAATTTGACAGATGGGTAAACTCTGACCTACTGCAAACCCCTAAATTAACAAGAAACACTTCCCAGAATCAAAAGCAGGCGACCTGTAAACAACCAAATGTTACCTCTCCACCAGCTCTGCACCAACAATGTCATGGATGTGGTATTTCATATGGAATTTCACATGAGAGGTTGTTCGTCGCTCTTCTAGCTCTGCCTTTAAGACTTCGCTATATTTGGACTTCTTCACCATGCCGAGCACCGCTTTGCGACCTAACAGGAAAAGTGAGAAACAAACGGTCCATCCAATGAGCAAGACGCTATCAAATCATCAAGACTTTCATGCTACATTGTTAATGCAAAGTATTGTTTGTCTTAACACTCACCTTGTATAAAGTACTTGGTGAATTTGCCAGAGTTGGGAATTGAAAGCCACCAGCTGCCTGCATCCCTCACAGTCAGGACCCCCGACTTAACCAGCTGCCTGCATGGTGAGAAATGAAAGAATGTGCTGACTTTTCACAAATACAAGTCAGATGTGTATTTACAAACACTGTAAGGAGGTAAAAAAGTTCAAATCAGTTTGTTTTTCTGCTTTTTATAGCCAGTCTGTGAAACTAAATAATTCTGGTTTAAACAAAAACACTGGTTTACGTGGCTGCACTATTACTAAAAACAGTACAGTGTCAGTACAGCTTTTTAGTTTTGAAGCCAAGTGTGGCGTTTTTCCAATTATACACGAAACTCCCAATTTTTGCTACAGTATTTCGCTTCATATAGATTCATACGTTATCTCGGAGTCTGTGAATAAGAACTCCCTCAGCATCTTGTCTTTGCTGAAGCTCAGATCTGTGCAAGACGACAGCACTTTCTCCAAGAACTTCTTCACGGTGGCTTGTGTCTCTCTGCCTTCCTCTCCTGCCAGCACTTTGGCCTTATAGTCGGAAGCAAAAATCAGCCCGAAAGCTTCCGCATCAAATCCAAGCTGGAACATCAGCAGTTCTCCTCGCTCACACAGTTTATTCTGAGGACCAAAAGGAGGGCAGTGGGTTGTATTTTCACATGTAGTTTATAAAACACATGACCTCTCTGACACTAAAGAGCCATCTTACCAGCTCCTTGTCCACCAAAGTCTTGTCACTGTGTATGCTGTAGAGTTGGTGCTTAAAAACAATCTGAGGCAAGGTGTCATTGAAGAGCTTCCTGGGGAACAGTGTCATGAGGTACTCGACGGTGGATTTGACGTCAGTCAGTCCTTTTAGGATACAAATAGATGGAAAGTGATTTTTAACATCCTTTAATGAGATTTCAACTCATTTGCAGTTATATTTTCAGCAGTCAGACCTACCATCTCCATTACTGACAGCTCCAAACTTCTCTGTGCCATTTCTTGTTTTCTTCACCTTGAAAGTGTCTGAAATCAGAGCCCGTTTCCTGTTCATACCTGGAGGAGAAACAACTGTACACACATAATGACCTGTTCACTCAGGCAGCTGCTTTTTCCTCCACGCACAGCTTTTTATGTGAATGAAAAACCTGTTACACAATAGATCACAACCCATCCCCTGTCAACATTTACACGTCACGTTGCTTACAGATAACAGATACAGGAGAAAAACAAGCCTCATCTGTGTGATATCCCTGGCAGGAATTTAGCCTCCCTTGCTGAAGATGCCCTGCTACCAGCTAGGTTAGGTAGTTAACTTAAAATTATAGCCCTGAGAGAAAAAGGAGAACAGAGAAAAACACACGACCTCTCCCACATACAAACAAACAAACGCCAAGCTAAACGCAGCTAGCGAGCTAACGCCGCTTATCATACAAATAACAAACATTTGACCAGTCAAACCAGTCGAAACTCTTACCTGATAGCTATTAATAACAATAATACTGTTTTTTTCACATTGCCTTGGTCCCATTCACAGTTCACAGTTTCAACAAACAACTTAAAAACACTTCTTCAACAGGACACCTCGGCTAACGGATCGGTTCATCTACTGACTCGCTGGACGTGCCTACCCAGAACGCCTTGCGGGACGACCCGCCCCTACTCTCCTCTGATTGGCTGAACCATCCCTCGTAAAAAACCGTGTTTGGGTCAAGAGGCTACACTTCCGCCCAAAACTCGTAGAAGAAGATCCCGTCTGTTGCAGCCACTGGAAGTAAGTTAGCTACTAGTGAAAGGCCGAAGCAATTATCAACCTAAGCTGAAACTAAATTAATTCCCACCCGCGTTTAATAAAATGAGAAGTTGACGACGATGGATGAGAAACTGCTACGGAAGTAGCGTTAGGGTTTGTGTTAGCTTGTGATGCTAGAGAGCTAACCCATGTAACAAAAACAAACACAGACTCGTTGTCTTATTTTTGTGTTAATTATAAAATAGGCTGAAATATAAATACTTTTCACACAATGTCGTGTTAATTACTGAGGCGGACTTAGCATTGAGAAAATCTGCCATAGTGGTATTTACTGAATGAGGTCGGTTTTCATGTTTTCACCCGTAATAAAGTATTTATACTTCATAGATGCAAGACAAATGTACACTAATGTATATGTACAACAGACATGCGTGTAACGTTAATGTTCTGTGTGCTACACAGCAGTCAATACGAGAATTACATCTTTAAATCATGAATTAGTATGCACACACACACACACACACACACACACACACAGCAGTTATTTACACAGATCTCGAGGTGATGTGTTTAATTGTGAATCATTTAAATTTGAACCTTTGTGTAACCCATGCAGGGAAAATGAAGAATCACTGCAGCAGGATTAAGCACAATAACAGATTTATGACAGAGTAGATAAGTAACTCTCAGTCTCTAGTATAGTGTATGTTGTCTCTTTAGTGACAACGCAAGTGAAGATGAGGCAGAGCATTATTTGGATTTCCTGCAGGAGGGCGAGATTATCAAGAAGATGTAAATAAACATCTGTGTCATCAGTGTGTTTTATTCACTCTTTTTCCCCCACCTGCCAGCAATGGACCCCCACAGATCCCACAATCCCAACTCCAGCTTCCGAACCCACCAGTCGGCATACAAAAGAGAAAGAGATGACTGTGGAAGACAATATAGTGAGAGGAAACACTTCAAACCACAGCACCACCAGCAGAATCAGTCTGGGCCGACTCCCGGGCAAAACCCACTTGGCTCTCAGGGTTTGAGCACCAGAAGGGAGCAATATGAAAGAAACTTTCCTGTGTACAAACAGCCCGTTGAAGTAGGATGTTTTTCCCTGGACTCTAAGCGGAGATTCTTCAACGACAGCAGGCAGATGAGATACTATGTGGAACCTGAAAAAAACCCCAACTTTGACCTGAAGGATGGATACAAGGACCGCTACGTAAAGAGGGATGATCGTGTGAAGGAGAAGCTGGACCACATCCTACGCTGGATCTTGGCCAACAGATCAAAGCTCAGCTCAAGGGAGACCACGGCTTCATCATGGTAAGTGTCACTGGTAGATTAAAGGTCCAGGTTACCACAGACAGATACAACCACCTCTAACCACAACAGTGTTTCCCGTTGGACGCGTATTCTTTGATCAAACTCTGCTCTTTTCAGTGCGTTAGATGTTGATTTTGTGACATGGCGTGGTCACCTGACCAAGCTGCTGACCACTCCCTATGAGGCACGGGAGGGCTGGTTGCTGGCGGTCACCAAGTTCAAGGGCACGCTTTACATCAGTGAAGTGGAGACAGAAGCTGCTCGCAGGGAACGAGAGAACCGCACAGAGAGGCATGAAGAGATGATGTACTGGGGATACAAGTTTGAGCAATACACATGTGCCGGTAGGTCGGTTAATATGAAATTGTATTATAGCAACTGCATCATATTGATTAACTGCTTTACATCAACTCATCTATGATATTCCACAAGAATATTGCCTCACAGTAATATATGCAGTCAAAGCTATGGAAGCCCATTTCTGCCAGGAAAGGAAAACAATAGGTGGAATGTTTTTAATAATAAAAACAATAAGATAATAAGATATGTTTTATATAATGGAACAACATACATATATGCTAGATGCAAGATTACAGAGAATATTCTTCATAGAAAGATGGACACCGTTAACGGAGGTACTGGGGGAACAGTTTTTTGTTTCTTTGATAATTTTAAGGATCGTATACTGAGTAAGGAACTGGATTAAAGGTGAAAACTAGAGGTAGTCTGCAGGACTTCTTTGCAAAACACACAGGATTTGTTTTTTTAATGAATAATATGGATGATGTGGATGTGTATATTAGACTGAAGATATAATGTTATTTAAATTTGTTTTGATTTATTTTTATGTTGAATTATTCAGATAAACAAGACCTGACTGTAATTCTTTAAAGGAAACTGTCAACCTATGTTTAAACATCTTTGATGAAAATAACCAAAATGATTTGTTATTTCTTTGAAGTAACTTTGTATCTAGTTGTTTTGACTTAGTAATCATAACTTTAAATACATTTGTATATAATAGTAAAAAAAATCATAATTTTGACATACAGTGAGTATTTTTATCATTCGTAACATTCCTTTTTCTTTTCCTAGCAGAAATGGATAGATACCAGTCTGTCTCATTGTATTACATTTGATGCACAAATCCAAATCATATGAAACACATTCAATGATAATCAAATGTTGAAATGATAATTCTTCACCTTTGTCGATCCCCATAGATAACGTCCACAGTTTACCTGACCCGGGCGGAGTGGTGAACACCAATGAGGCCTTCTGCACCGTCGTACAAACTCGGCTCGCAGATCACAGGCTGTTGTTCTCCGGTGAGGTGGACTGCCGGGATAAAGATCCCAAGGCCCCAGCTCCTCCCGCGTGCTACGTCGAGCTGAAGACCTCTGCAGAGATCTGCACCCCCAAACAGCGCAGCAACTTCCACAGGTAGATGATGAAACAAGAAAACATCACATAATGAACTTTTACATGTCGTGCTGTTTGTCTGATATTTCATTTACCCAATGTTATGCCATTTTAAAGTGAGTTTTGCTCATTTTGGTGGTCTTCAGGTTCAAACTGCTCAAGTGGTGGGCCCAGTCTTTTCTCCCTGGAGTCCCTCGTGTTGTGGCAGGCTTTCGGGATCACGACGGAGTGGTTGTCGGCGTGGAGACGTTTCCCATCTCTAAGATTTCACATCTCATCAAGGTACAGTTTTATTTCTAATGAAAACACATCGGACATGAATAAATAGAAGCTTGCAAGATTAATTCTAAATATTTTTCTGTATCTATTCTGGACAGAATGAACAAAACTGCTGGAAACCAACAGTCTGCATGAACTTTTGCTGTGATTTCCTGTCTTTTGTGAAGCGTATAGCTACTGAAGACAATCCAGAGTGAGTTGCGATGACAGACTACGTTGTTAACCTTAAAATATTTTAAGTTAGTGTTTGTTACTGAATCGTTATTGTTTCCCCCTCCAGTTTAGTGTACCTGTTCTCTTACGAGCCCCACAGAGATGTGACCTACACCGTCCACAAGGACTTCAAATACACCTTCCTGCCACCCTGGTATGTGGAGGAGATAACCAGTAGTCGAGACTCACACCATCAGTCCTGATTTACAGCCAAGACGTCAACTGGGACTGTCAAATTCAGACCTCCAATGGAGGATTATTTATGGTTTACTCATCCTCTGAGAGTGACTATGTGAATTCATTTTGTGTCACTGATCACTACTGCATGACCCTCCAGAGGTAGTTTCATCTTTTATTTGTTCAGCTGTAAGAATGAAACCATGTTTTTGTACTCTTTTTATGTGGTGATTTTAAAACCCCTACAAGGAACTTTCATTTTATGGTGATTCTGGCAAAACCGGTAGTGTTTCTACCACCTTGTTTCCTTTAATGAGAAAAGGGAATCTGACCTGGTGCCAAATTTAATTTCATAACCAGTTAAAAGCTCCTTGTTGTATGTTTAAATAAAACAGTACTCATGTCAATATTGTTTCTCAAACTTTATTATTATTATTATAATGTTATAACAATAATTTAGACACCAAAACAGTGGTATGTTAATGCTTAATTGAGACAAAATTAGAAAAGAATATATGTTTTTAAAAAATCATAATGTAAATAAGTGAAGATGACTTCAAGTAAGTATTGCATCAGTTACAAAATATGTTCATGTAAACTGTAAAGACAAAATATTTCAGCAATGTCAAGTTCTGTCATTGGCAGAAAAGAAAAAAACAGTTATGAAGAAGACAGTTAACAATTAACATCCACAGTGTAGTCCAGTATCTGTTTTATAACTAATAGTGACACATTCATGTTTGGGTTCCTTCTTTACTATTAAATAAAACTCATTTCTTCCTCCTGGGACATTTTCTTTCGTGTTGTTTTGCTTTTCCACACCTGCTGTCCTCAGATATTACCATTTATTTTCTGGTAGTCCACATTTAGACATTTATTACCTCATTCTTTGCTACTTTTACCTCCATAAACACCTTGGCCTGCACCTCAATGACTTATTGTAGGGTTATGAAATTGCTGATGTGTGAACAGACAGTTTCTTACTTTTAAAGCACAAAACAGAAGTGAAAGCTACATTTTATAGTTATACAGTCTGCTGACACATGTGTGTATGGTGTACCTGAGGACAGGAGGTGTGTGAGTCAGCACAGGTCAGGACAGCATCACTATTTGCAGCTAGGCTACACCACTGGCACAGTTTCATACACAGGAAGGTGATGAACTCTTTAAATGTTATTTTACAAAGTAAAACTGAGTGCAACACCTTTTGTAATGATTAAAACTCACATAAACAGATTTAACAACCAGTTATAACACCAACAAAAGAAGTAAATCAACTTTTAAATTTTTAAAATGAAAAAAATCCGATCACCCAATCAGAGAAAGAGCACTGTGATTAACAAACGCGGTAAATTACTGCGAGCTCCGACTACCCTACATAAAGCAGGACGCTGAGGTAAATAAAGGAAGACACCTGCGTGATAAAATGTTCATACTGACCAATACAATCATGAAGAAGGCAGCAGACAGTTAAGTGCATAATGGGTTTGTGTAAATCATCAACAGTCATTAAAGCTCAGTTCATAGTACAGTTTTGTGATATAATTTAGCACCTACTGCAGTATTTGTACACATGTAACTGTGTAGGCTTAAGTACTCTCATTCCTGTTTATATTACATTCATTTTTACTTAATATATTATGAATGTTAAAATTAAAGCCTTTATGAGCTGGAAAAGTTTCTTTTACAAACATTTTACACACAAGTCTATAAATATGAATGGGAGATCTGCACTTCTCTCCCTTTCACTGCTCTTATAACTTCTAATTTGTGTGTAATAATCTCAAATCAGTGCATTAAAAACATTTATCTGGCAGGAATTTCATGAGGTTTCTATCAAACTGAGTTAAATTCACAGTTAAAACATAAGACAGTATGTGAAGCCTGGTCCAGTAGCTTAGATCAAGGCAATCCTCAGTAGCTAGGTGCCTTATTGGTCTCATTATTTGCAACAAACCCCCTCACATTAAAAACAGTCGGATATTTTGGGAAACAGGCTTATTCACTTTCTTGCCAAGATTTAGATGAGAATCAGAAAAACTTTATTGACATTGGGTTATGTTATAGTCACTGCTCTCATATCTGTAACACTTAAATATGAAGCTACCTTAGCTTAGCACAAAGATTTTCCACTCGTCGTGAATTTTTGGTCTGAACTGGGATTTAGAAGTGCTGGTAGGCAGATTTAGTCGCCTTTCGAAAAGACCAGGCTAGCCGTTTCCAGACTTTGTCCTAAGCTCTCCTTTTACAAGTTTTTCCAAACTACTTTTAAAATCTCAGCTGGTGTTTTTTACTTTTATTTTATGCTAAGATATGATTCAATGTTCACAATGATTAATTTAGCCTCAAAAAGGTTAAATAAATTACGATTGGGGCCACTTTAGCTCTGCATTTAATAAACTACTTACATCAGAAGATTTTTTTGAATACAGCCAAATCAAAGGACAAACACATTCTCATAACTTATTGGAGTTAGTGACACTAATTTGCGTCCCTTTACCTCGAGAATCAAACTCAATTCAGCTCCTGTAAGATCACCAGAGGCTCACCAGTGGAATAAATTAAGGCCAGTCTGCACAAATGGAACCAGTTAAAGGTTAAGAAAGAGTGTATTAAAAGTATTACACCTATCCCTGGTTGTGGTGTATGTTTTCGGCAAGCGTGGGGATCTAATACTTGTACTGTTTCCAGCTGGCCGTGTGTTCACTGCTTCAGTTTCTTGTTCAGGCCCATGACTTTGAAGGTAGCAGCAGTGATCTTCTCATACACCACAAACATGAGGGCAGCCGTCAGCACTGTCTGTAGCAGCTTGGCCTCCAGGCCTTTGTACAGGCCGAGAACGCCATACCTCCTGCAATAAATAAGGGAACAGATGTATGTCAGTGACCAGCTATCATAACATCTTCAACAGTGCGCTCACTGTGTCATGTGAATGTGTTTGTGTTCGTAGCTGCACTCACTTGATTCGATCCACGAGCAGGGAGAAAATGTTCGAGAGGCTTCCGATCACGCCGCCTTTGCCATCACCTTTGTACTGGCCGAACTTAATGAGGAAGCATGAAGCAGGTTATGTTAATTCCTTAAGATGTAATGATTTCTTTTACATAATTTCATGAGAACCTGAAGATATTCTCCACTAACATCTGTATGATCTACAATATATAGTGATTACAGAGGGCTGCATTAGTTTCTAGCTCCTAAAGATTAACTTCTGTGAACCGATGTGAGGTATAAACTGATAAAAATGCTTTATTCTTCTCTTGCCATCAACAACACACATTAAAAAACATAATGTTAAACATATAGTTGGAAAAATATCATCAATAAATCTCATGAAAAAAACTAAAATTTAAGCATTACTTCATCCATTAGTACCTTTGGACTTTTCTACCCTATGGCACACAAAGCCCATTCGTTCCTACTGATGATGTTGCTGGACTATTTCTTGGTCGGTACCATTCATTTCCTGGAGTTTCCACTGGTTGCTGGGCTACCGGCCTGAACCAAAAAAAAAAGTTGCCTGGCAACCAGCTGAGACCAGAACAGCAGAGTTTTTTCACTTTGGTTTCTGTAGGGAAATGTCCCGCAGTGCAACAGTGCTCATTGGTGAGTTTTCAACAGTTTTTTGGACAACAATGGCTCATCATCATCACCATCATCATCATCACCATCATCATCATTGTCGTCGTCGTGACAATAAAAAACATACAGAATCTTACCAGTGGCTAATAAACAAAACATTGAAGATAGTATATAAGATAGTATTTACCCTCAGGATGGCCTGAACTGTCTGAAGAGGATATGTTGCAGTGGTAGCGATGGCCTTGGCAATGGCTCCAATGAGAAAGATCTCTGCTGAGGATATCTGTGGTAGGAGGCAAAGATTTAAGCTACTCATACCAAGTGTTTTCGTAAGTGTCATCCTAGCAAATGACTATGAGACTGATTTAAGTTTCCTACAAGTATGATTCAAAATGTTAAATAAACAGTGGCCAAAATGACAAACAAATCAATTATTTTTTAGCCAAGCAAGCAGAGTGGATATAAGATGGCATTGTCTGCCAGTTTGATCCAGACTGAAATATCTCAACCATTATTGGACGGATTACAATGAAACTTTGTACAGACATTAACGTTCCCCAGAGGATGGATGCTACTGACTTTGCTTATCCTTTGACTTTGCATCTAGCGCCACCAGCAGGTCTAAATTAAAATCTGTCCAATACCTTAAAATGTGTGTAAAACTAATAACATTACTCCCGTCAGCCTCAGCTGGACTTTGAGTTTTGTGCCAATTAGCAACTGTCAGCGTGCTTAAATGAAAAACTAAGATAGTGAGCATGATCAACAAGTTAAAATGTCATTGTGAGCATGTTAATGTGCAGACATTAGCATGTAGCTCACAGTAGGCTCTCCCTCGGGCCTCCAGGAACCTCACCCACCAGTCGAACCTGTGCACCCAGTCTTAAGCACAGCCGCACAGAGCCACTAGCTGACTGCTGACAAACGATACTCAACTGGCTTTGCACGGGGGCCATTATTGCAAAATGAGAGGAGGCCAGGGGCAGTTAATAAACAGTATATAAAAACTGTATTCTGTGCAACAGTATATTTCTTGTGTCCTCTCACCCTCTTTCCTCCTTTCCCTGCCCTCCTCTTCATGGCCTCATAAAACATGAACTGTACTGCCGGGTTGAGGACGAGGATGAGAGAGGGCAGAGTGCCGTTCCACAGAGTTCCCACGCCCTCATTGGCAATAATCTGTGAGAAAGCATCTAAAAAGGGGAAGACAAAGAGTTTTACAACTGTGACGTAACAAACAAAAAAGCATGTCTAAGCTGTTAAACTATGATACATATATCACACACCAAATATGCCCCTGTACTGGGTCTGCTGGAGGTCTTCGTTTCTGAACTTTGCTCCCTGCAGCTTCAATCGAGTATTCACCACCCACATGGGAGTGGTCAGGATCACATTCACCACCCCTGTGTGAGCAACAGAGAGTTAGCTTCATTCTTCATTCTTAAAGGCACCTTGTGGAGATTTTGACCTCAAGTAACTCTACACAGCAGCTGTTTAATACACATAACTTTTGTTTGTTAACAGGAAAACTCCACAGGGCACCTTTAAGTCCTTCGCTTGATGGTTGTCATTATTTCATTAACAATGATTTGTTTTACTGTACGTGTGTGTGTACCTGATACGACCCCCATGAGCAGGTCTTTGCCGGGTCTGGACGTGCCTGGACCGGATGCCATTAGCTTCTTCAGTGTGTTGAAGGTGTAGAAGTAGACAAAGTTGGAGCAGCAGAGGCTGGAGATGACTGGTAACCAGCCCCTGTACAGAGACTGACTGGGAGAAGTGGTGGAGAGTCATTTGAATAGTGAATCTTCAGTCATGTGGCGACACCATCAGCCTAAACAGCCGGTAATAGTTTAGATTAGAGCTTTAAACTACCAGTTGTTTTCATCTATTATTCTGGTGATTACTCTCTCAATTAATCCCTTGTCATTAATCGCTCACAGTCCAAAACCTCCAAGTTAAATATTCATATTTGATAAGCTGGAACCAGATCATTTTTGCCATTTTTAATTTTAAAAAAGAAAATTGTTGCAGATTAATTTGCTGTTGACCAACTGATTTATAAAACTCTAGTTTCCATAGATCTTAGGCAAAATAAGGGGTTGCTCAGTTGTTCACATTAAACTAAGAAGCTTGTATTTAAGAACAAAACAACAGGCTTTGGTTGTACTGCACAACACGATACTTACAGGCCTTCTTCCTTTGCTATCTCAGCCAGGATGATGGGGGTAGACTTAGCCTTTCGCTTCTCATCCACTGAAATACAACCAAATGTTGAAGGGCAAGATCAGTTCACTGGTCATGAGGAGTACTGCTCAGCCAACACAGCAGGATCATCTGAATAAATAACACAGGTGATGCCATCGGGGCAGTGGTGGAGGAAGTATTCAGATCTTGTACTTAAGTAAAAGTAGCAATACCACACTGTAGAAACACTCTACTATACTGTTTTCTTCAAGTAAAAAGTATTGGCATCAAAATAAACTTAAAGAACTAAAAGTAAAAGTACTCCTTAAATAAGACGGCCCACTTAAGAATAATCTATACTAATGGATTATAATTACTGATGCATTAATGTGTACATCACTTTAATGCTGAAGCTGACGAATGATAACTACTTTATCTGCTTGGGTAGCTTGTAAATTTACAATAAAGGTTTACTATACTACTATACTTTCTACTTTATAATATTATAATCGCCATTTATTTGTTGATTATATTTTGTATTATTAATGTGAATCAGTAAAGTAACTAGTTAATAAAGTTGTCAGATAATTAAAGTGGAGTAAAAAGTACAATATTTGCCTGAGGAATGAAGGAGCAGCAGGTAAAAGTAGCTCAACATTTAACTGAGGTGCAGTACTTGAGTTGTTCCTCACCACTGCCCCGGGGTTATCTCAGCTTTAGTGGGAAGGAGGAGGTAAGAAAAGTATATAGGTTTATGTATATAGCACCTTTTTTACATCAAATAGAGCTTCGAAATAGAAAACACACAAAGATCTAACCAGGTGAGACTTGATCAGCTGTTTTAATGGTGTCCAAAGTGTAGGTTACTTGGCTCATGAGGTCAGGATATAGGCACTTAGTCTGGTGCACTATTAAATTAGTGGACCACTCCTTTACCCTTCCTTTGGGATGTTGAAGTAAACCTTCACACTCAACACTCAGTGTAGGGTTGCTGCTATCAGGTAACCTCTGTCCCAAGATGATAAGACCTCCAACTCACCCTGCAGTCTGCTTTTGGCCGTGTCCAAAGGGAAGAAGACGGTCATAGCAGTCACACTCCCCTAAAAGACAACACACTGTAACGATACCGACGACTACAAATACAAATACTCACTCCACATGTTTCTGCTACACCGCTAACACCAAGAAAACAGGCCTAAGTGCTTTAACATGAAGTTATGACATCTCCTCTTATTGCCCTTTAATCTCTGCTCACCATTGCACCTGCCACAGCATGAACCAGAGTCTCGTAAGACAGGAGGCCGACAGCCGAGCCACCGTTGTCGGACATCTCTGCAGAGTCTCCCGGTCCGACCACACAGCCCAAACACCGGGAACCAACCGCGGAGCGACCCGAGGGGAGATAGCTAGTCTTTTTTTATAACTAGAAAACAGTTTAAGGGAGTTAAATAAACATTCACAGCTACGACTTCATGCTTTTTACAAGCTTAAATGCGACCAGAAAGAGAAAAGGCAATGTTTCCTCCCAGTCGGCATTCATTGGTGGAGCCGGCTTCACCGCTTCTTCTTCTACTGCAGCTTTCTCTGCGACGCTTCTGCTGCTTCCTGGTCTTCTTCTGTTGATGTGTAACAGCCACCTATTGGACCGGAGGGAGCATTGATCAATAAATAATGACAATAACAGAATTAATTTATAATATCATACAAGTTTTGGAGCACAACATAAGAACCATAAATGTTTTTTGGGGGCTTTGTTTTTAGTTTGTTTTCTGACTTTTCTTTCAAACTTTATTGAATAATTAGATTATATTACATACTTAGTTTCTTTTTTTTGTTGAGAAAATGCAACTACTGTGTACTTCATATTATAAAAAAATAATATAAAAATAAATTAAATTGTACAATAAATAAAATAAATGAAAAAGAAACAAGAAAAGTAAAATCCACAAGACTCTGGGCTCTGCTAAACAATTGGAGTACATTTGAAATGTCTACATTTTATAATAGTGTATAATAGTTTCAATAGTTGTCAAATACGTTTTAAAATCAGTGTCTATAAAAGAATAGAAGGCTTCATACACAAATATGTACAAACATTACTGATAATACCAAGAATATAGCCAGCATATATAATATAGACTTTATGATGACAATATGATAAGAATTAAATAATTAATCAAAGTAATACACTATGTCCATAACAAATATTTATTTAAAAATACATAAATATGAATTAATTATACTTCTTTTCCATTACAAATATCTTTAAATCCACATTTATAAATGTAAAATCTGTAGAACATTTGTAAACAATACGTAACTTTACACAGAAGACATAAAACACGTTTATGAAACCACCCAACAAACTGGACCTTAAACATTTATAAGTCAATTATCAAAAAAAGTGATCAGCAACTTTTGTAATTCTGACTTTTTTTTAATGTAAAAAGACCAAACTTGAACCAAAATTTCATGATTTCAGCAGCTACTCAAAAAGTCCTCCATTCAAAATATACCTAACAGTAAAATTGTTGTTGTATAGGTAATTTTAACTTTTATTTCATGTACAGGTAATCTATAAAAATCCTCATATTTTACAAGGTGATTGTTTTATAGGTAACGTGTAAAATAAATGTAGTGGAGTAAAAAGTACAGTATTTCTTTCTAATGCAGTAGAGTATAAACATTAAAAAAGTACTAAATAATGTAACACTGCTGTGACCACACAAGTTTAAAGTAATGATCTCGAGCAGTGATGGTGTTTGAGGAGATTGTGCAGCTTACAGCAGTGGACTGGACTTTGCTTTTGTTTTATGGCTCTGAGCTGCTGATATGTTGACGCCCAGTGATCACATTGTTTGCTCAGTCTCGTCAGTCTGTGTGCATCTGAAGGGAGTTGGAGGGTGAGAAGAGTGAAAGAAAGTGACAGCTTTGTTTCAACCTTTTCTGTTCTTTTGAGAGATGTCTAGGTACCACAAAGCAGCGATTGATGGATACTTGGACCTGTTGAAGGAGGCCACGAGGAGGGACCTGAACACTGCAGATGAGGATGGCATGACTCCCACCTTACTGGCTGCTTTCCACGGACATGTCGATGCTCTTCAGCTCATATGCAGCAGAGAGTAAGCGTGACACCCTTCTTTCTATCACCTGCTTTATCTCACATATAACCTACTCAACCACTCAAATAACCTGTAGCCTTAACTTTGTCATGGTTTAACTCCATGATTATTACCTTTAGAGCTCTGATTTAAACATTTAAATAAAATGTTTCAATATCATAGAGAAAGCTAAATTTGACAGATATGGGCTGTATTGTTACATTAAGATGTAGAAATATATAGTTTTTTATGTTGATTGTAATGTACAATGCCCTAAAACTAAACTAAAATCTAAAGTACAATCAACAAGTGTTCCCTGAGCAAAGGTTAACATATTGTTCAGTTTCATTTATTGCTGAGAAATAATATTTTAAAGCATTTTCATACTGTGAAATAATTATTCAGCACTTCATCTGGGTATAAGCAACACATGTTCACATGTCGTTCACTATAATGAGCTGTAACTCCACTCTTTAGACTGCTCTCCCCTGTGAGCTGAGCCAAATGTGTACTCAGCCAAAGACATCCTATAAAACAAAAGAGCCCTTTATCTATCCCCACCACCCCCACCTCCATTTCTCGTTCAACACAACAAAAGACCAGAGAAAATCGAGCACAGCATTCTTACTGAAAAATGAGGTTCAGAAAAGATGATTGGGAGGTATTAATTAGGGTGTAACTGGTATCTCACCTACGTGGCCTGAATTAACTGAAGCATTTCCGCTTTGCTCGTTGCCAACATGAGCTGGAATTTATGGCAATACAGTAATCAAGACTTTTTATGGCTGTGACAATGAGGCACAGCACCTGAGGACTTTAATTCTTAATAGTTTACCAATTATCTTCACTCCTGTTTGGTATTATTTTGTTATATGTTGTGTGTATATTTTGAAACCCAATTAATTTGTACCTTACATTTAAAGGATAAGTTTTAAATTTTGACAAACACACATTTGCTCTCTTGCTGAGAATTAGATGAGAAGACTGATCATGTCTTTACTGTACCAGCCGGTTAGCTTAGCTTAGCTTAGCTTATCATGCGTAATGGAAAAAATGGGTAAAGCGACTAGCCTCGCTCAGTCCAAGGGTAACAGCTACCAGCCCCTCTAAAGGCTCACGAATAAAGCAGCAGTTCTCAAACTGTTTTCATTAATGTACAAATATTTCTTCAGCCAAACACCGCCGCACAAACAGTGTCTGATTTATTAAGAAAAACACTCAAATGTTTAGAATCCATTGCTAAATTTATAGCAAATCAATTTTCTGTCATCATGCAGTAACACTAAGACAGCATTGTACTGACAGTTTAGTGAGAAACTCAAGCTCCACTGAGGATCTTTGTTATTCTCTGTAGCCAACGTACAAATCAACCTCTTTTCCAGAAGTTTTACAAGTTAACGATTGCACTGAAAGTAGGAATATTAAATATGAAATGGGTTTTATTAAACTTAAATTTACGAATGTCTGATCATTTTTGTATTTCCTTATATATATATATACTTTTTAAAATGTCACCATTTGAGTAACACTAGTTTAAAGGACCAGTGTGTAGGATTCAGGCCTCTATTGATGTAGTTGCCGTTTAATCCGTACATTAAAGTGTAAAAACAACATGTTGTGGTTTTTAAGGAGGTTATGTGTCAGACTATTTCTTGGCAGTTGCCAGGCAACCAGTGGAGACTCTGTTTTATAGGAAATTGCTCTTGTCTTTGTATGGTTGACTACATAAAATGTGTTAATCAGCTAGTTAGTCAACTTTGGACAGAGCCATGCTAACTATTTCCTCTTGTCTCCAGCCTTTCCGCTAAGCTGAGCTAGCCAGCTGCTGGCTTCAGCTCCATATTTACCGTACAGACATGAGAGTGGTATCAATTCTTTTATTTGATACTCGGTAGGAAAGCAAAGTGTATTCCAAAAAATATAACATTTAAATATTTCAGTCTGAACCATGACTTAATGGTAATTGAGACCGTAAAGTTAGCACAGCATAAAGACGTTCACGGTGCCATTATACAAATATACAATAGCAAAATCTAGCTGTCTGAAAGAAAAGAAACACATAAAATCACACAAAAAGTGGCAAAAGATTAAAATCATTGCTCTAAATCACATCTTTTCTCTTGTGTCATGCAGAGGAGACCCCAATAGGAGCGACATCTGGGGAAACACTCCGCTGCATCACGCGGCAGCCAACGGCCACATGCACATCCTGAGCTTCCTGGTCAACTTCGGAGCCAACCTTTTTGCACTGGACAATGATTTCCACACAGCTATGGATGTCGCTGCTTCTCGTGACCGCATGGACTGTGTGCGCTTCCTTGACTCTGCGGCCTCGCAGCAGACCAACCAAAATCCCAAGAAGGTCGCCAATCTAAAGAAGGAGGCCGTCAAAGAAGCGGAGAAACGTGTGAAACTCTGTGAGAAGGTAAAGAAGAAACACCAGAGCAAGATGGATAAAATGCAGCGTGGAGGCAGCATCACTGGGTCTGTTTCAGAGGCCAACATGGGGTCAGCGTTCTCGAACAGTGGTACCATGACCGGCGTCAACGAGCAGTTCTCCAAGCTTATCGCTGCAGATAAATCTGGCTCTCTAACCGCCAGGGTGAAAGGCACGCTCCAGAAGAAGCTAGGGAAGAAAGATAGAGGCACACTGAGTTCAGGAGGGAATGGGAATGTTATATTCCTCAAACAGGAGAGTGGAGCGTCTGAGAAACCAGAGTTTTTGGATGTCTTCAGTGAGCAGGATGAGGGCATGTTGGATGAAGAAGAAATGGGAGGCTTCAATGATTATGACGACAATGAAGAAACCGGCCAGGTCAAACAGTCCATCTTCAACCGGCCGGGACTCGGAGGTCTGATTTTCATGAAGAAGATGGGTGGGGGCGAGTCGGAGGACATGCCGAGCGTGAACAACGAAAGTCTCGGCTACCTCGTTCAGAACGACATGTTCGAGGAAGACGCTGCTGGCTTTGATGGGACTGGTGACACTGACCTGCCCTGGGACCAGGAAGATCTGGGACTGGATGATGAGGAAGATGAGGAAACATCTCCTTTAGATGCGTTCTTGTCTGCCATCTCCTTGCCAGAGTTTGCCCTCGCATTCAGCAGAGAGCACCTGGACCTAGAGGCGCTAATGCTCTGCTCTGATGAAGACCTGAAAGGTATTCGCATCCAGCTGGGACCCAGGAAGAAGATCTTGGAAGCTGTCGCTCGCAGAAAGAACGCACTGGAGACTCCTGGCATCATAAAGGACAGCTCCTTGTGATCTAGAAAACATGAACAGTGATTTATAATCCAATTTGAAACTTAAAAATGAGTCTCCTGATGAACTATTTCTCCAACAGCAATTCCTACAATCAAATTTATACTCTCTGGAGATGGAATAGCATTGTGTAATCCTCTGTTTATACAATATAATCCATGTTATAACCAATTACAGCATAGCAGGAGCGTCAGGACCTACTATCAACAATAGCCTAGAAAAGACAAGAACATTATAATTAGTAGAAAATAAAAAAGAAGCGACGTTGTGGCCAGCGAATCGATCTTAAATCCACAATATCAATGTGTAGACAAAAACAAGATGTTTTGGTTCAGAACTGGTGATTGTTTCTCTCCATGAATAACATGAGATAACAGGCTCAGTGGCTGATTTGGTTGTGCTGTTGTATGTTTGTTATAATTATTTGGACTGCTGACAACATAATTGTCAAAATAAAACGTGTCTCTAATCTCTGATGGATTTGTGTGTATGTGTGCACTTGATCACGATAACTTATATTTTTATAACGTTACATTATAACAGTAAGTTAACGCATGATAGCATGATAAATAGTTTATTGATGAAAGTAAATGTGTCATGATATAAGGTGAAACATTTTCTAACAATAACACACATTATATCATTATGTTATAACAATACAAGTAGTATATTTTTAGAACAAGAAAAGTCTCTTGTCAAGACGTGAAAATACCTTGTTATAACAATAAACTCTTTTTTTCTTACATTTTACAGGGTATTATTATACTTTTTACTCCACTACATTATTTTTTGACAACTTTAGTTACTAATTACTGTGAAGATTCAGATTCAGATTAATAACAGTAAATATGACCAACAAGTAAATTATGATTATATTATAGGTTTAGTTAAGATCTTATTGATCGTGGGGGTAAATTAACAAACAACCCAGCAGCAGGCTATATGAAGTCATTAAATATTACTTAAACACACGTTAATGCATCAATCATTTAAATACAATAATATCATATACATTACTCTTAAATACTTTTACTTATGGTACTTAATTTTTATGCTAATACTTTTGTAGTTTTACTTTTTGTAACAGAGTATATTTTTTTACTGTGGTATTGATATTTGTTTTAACGTAAGTACAAGATCTGAATATTTCTTATACCCCTCGGTGGACCAAATGTTAGTAAACTTCCACTTATTTAAATTAAAATAGGTGTGAGGACATTTCTTCCATATCTGAGTGTACGAACAAAAAAGCATTACAAAATACTTATTTTTATTATTTGTTTTTATTTTGTATTCCCTTAGTCCCCAGTGGCGTTAAACTGTGATTATAGACTCAAGATGTTTGAACTTATTATAAACCTGTTTTGTTTTTTTTAACGCGTTGCGGGGAAACGACGCCGGAAGTACTCGGAGGTGACGTCTCTTGACCTGTGTACCGCGGAGAGGGAGGAGGAGGAGGAAGAGGAGGAGGAGCTTCCGGTGAGAGGCGTTAACAGCTGCCGCTCGTTACCGTGTGTAGTGGACTGTGTGTGTTTGTACTGTGGTCACGATTATGTCTAACAGGTAATAAATATGTCTCACTGTTACAACTACTGAGCGTTTACTGTCACCTGTCTGCACTCACCTGTAAAACGACTGATCAGCGTCACTCGATACAAAAAAAAAAAAAAAAAAGCGACTCGTTTGCGCCGCGAGGCAGCTACACGAGAGCTAACTTAAGCCTCATTAGTGAGCTAATAGACAATCTCAGCTCGTCTCTCCGGCGACTTTTACACATTTATCTCTTAAACTACATCTTGTCGGAGCTACCTGACGGAGAGCCGACTCCTCCAGCTCGGATTCAAAGTCGCTGTCGTTATCTGAAGGGAAGCGTTTGTTTAACTATCTCCTCCTTGTGTTTTTATTTTGCTCCCACTTAACCCTCCAGGTTCGCCTAGCAAAGAGAGACATGGCTGAAATACTCTCCGTCACTGTGGACGTCACCTTCCCGATCCAGGAGGACGCCGGTACCGCTGCCGCCGCCCCTCCAGCCCCCCTGAGCAGCGAGGACTACCTGTTTGTGGAGGCCAGGCACCCCAACACGGTGCTGCAGGGCCTGAACAGCCTGCGACTCAACAACGCCTTCTGTGATGTGACCCTGTGCTGTGGAGGACAGGAGTTCCCCTGCCACCGCATTGTGCTGGCCTCCTTCAGCTCTTACTTCCAGGTAAACCTCCATTTAATGTCAATGACGGGAACAAGCGGGGGTCCAGTGTGGTGCTGATGGGGCTTGAAAGTCATGCAAACTATGAGTTGTCTCATTTCACCTCCTCAGGCAATGTTTTCCACTGACCTGATAGAGTCCAAGCAGGAGCGGGTTGCCATCAATGGAGTTGAGCCTCAGATGATTGGCATGCTGGTGAGCTACGCCTACACATCCGAGGTCTATATCTCTAAAGCAAATGTGCAGGTAGAGTCTCATCTTTTTTTTTTTTTTTTGCCACTGTACACCCGCATACACTAACCCCTAAAGAGCACGTCTGTTAACAAAACCCACTCATTTAATGTGTTTCAGGCCCTGCTGGCAGCAGCCAATCTGCTGGACGTGATGGCCGTTAGAGAGGCCTGTTGTCGATTCATGGAGCGTCAGATGGATGAGATGAACTGTGTGGGGATTCACTGTTTTGCCGAGGCCCATTCTTGTAAGGTGCTGGAGAAACGCAGCATGGACTACATTCTTGAGCACTTCAACAGCGTTCATCAGCAGGTGAGAGGCTGACGGAGACATATATGTTATTATAATCATATCTAGAGGACTGCACAATTAGTTGAAGTATTATCAAAAGTGCAATATGCAAGTCGCAGAAGCTGCACATTTTGTGACACAACGGCGTTATAATGAAGTATTGTAGCGCTGCACAGACGCCCCGGTCTTCAGATCTTGTTCTCCAGATTTAAGAAAACATGTTTGACTCCAAAAAATGTCACAGCAACACTTTCAATGAAAATTAAATTTGTGATGCGAAGACGATCATTCCCAGACCAATTATGAATTGCATCGCAGTATCTGTAAAAAATTAACGCAATAGGATGTTTTTCGCCATATGTTGAGAATATGAACATATGAATAGAATAATATATATTATCTGACAAAAACTCACCTTTTTAAAATTGCTTTTAATGTTTAGCTTAGATTGATTTGTTTATAGTGTTTTACTATTTGATGTTTTGTATTTTTGTTTTTATGTAAAGTGTCTTTAAGCATCTAGAAAATCAGAGCGCTTATAAATAAAATGTAGTATTATTATTATTATTATTATTATTATTATTATTATTAATATAACAGAAAAGCCTGAAAGGTCCTGATTCATCTGTGTTCCTGGAGTCACGTTGGCAAGGAAACCATAATGGTGGACAGGGAAGTAGAAGAGTGCTGTGTTACAAATTCATGTAATAGAGTAACAGAAGAACAGGTGTTTTCTGTGAAAGGCAGTAACTCCCTGTGGTGTATGGACTTTGTAACTTCAGACCTTTTTTACATGCACAAAAAAACCCACTAAACCACGCAGGAAGAAGCATAATGCCCTCTTTAATACTTTGCTGCCTTCGCACATGCCACCTGTACCTCACCAGGATAATTGAACCTGGCAGTGTTGTGTGTTTCATATGTGAAAGGGGCTTAACAAAGATAATCCCACTGCCTGTCAGCAGTTAAACCGATGACTACATGTGATTAACTCCCTTGGATAGTCCGGTTAAGTAGGTTGTCATTCACACTTTCTTTCTTTCAATGTCTTTTTTTTCTTTTCTTCTTACCCATCAGGAGGAGTTCCTGTCTCTTTGTGTGGACAAGCTGACAGAAATCCTTGCCAGTGACTTTCTCAATGTGCCTAAAGAGGAGATGGTGTTTGAGGCGGCCATGTTGTGGTTGAATAAATGTCTCTCTCGCAAACAGAGCTTTGAAAAGGTCAGATTCACTTACACAAGTTCAGGTTTATTATTTTTTTTTACAACTTGGGCTATTTATCCTCGTGCTACTGTGATCCCAAGTATATCCCACAGAAGTGCATGTGTTTGGGGCTGATGTTGCAACGTAGAAGAGCCCCTCAACTCAGCAGCTTTTGGGCCCCCATGTAAAAGGACTCCTCTCTTACCTCCTGGAGCATTGCCCACTGACGCACTGTTTTATCTGTTTTTGTTTTGTGTTGTATTTTGCAGGTTTTTTTCATGCCAGAGTAGAGGAGAGGCTATCTTAATCATTTATAAGCCACTTTTGCTACAAAGGATTGTTACAGACCCTCCTGGCATTGTACAGAACAAGAATAAGGATACAAGTTGTTAATTTAAGCCTGAAATGTATATGGGTTAATCAGAAGTTGCTGTATTTATTAGAAAACTATTTGTAAAACATCCTCACAATTGAGCTTCAAGCAATGGTCATTTTTTTATTTGTACTAAAAAAGTACAGTTTACAGTATAGACAGTTGGAGACTAATTCATCTTACCAGACAGTGATCCCTGAAAGTACATTTTATCAAGCTGCTGTAAAGGATCAGGAAAAAACAAAGCATTTGTACTTTTGACCGAGCCCAGTGACTTTATCCAACAAGAAGTGATAAAAAAGCAGTCAGTTCAATATGAGCCTCTTTGGGGGTCCCTCCAATCCCTCCAATCTGTGGAAACAACTGGCATGGATCTCAAATTCTCTTGTTGGACTATATTGTTCATCAGATTCTTTCTCTTTCCATTTGTTCCTCAAAGGTCCTTGAGCATATCCGACTGCCTCTTATCAGCCCTTACTACCTCCACGATGTGATCGAGTCCCTGGATGTAGTGAAGGAGAACCAGGGCTGCCAGAGGCTCATCTCTGAGGCCAAGGACTACCTGCTGCTAAAGGACCGCCGTGGAGAGCTCTACTGCCCCAGAGCGAGGCCCCGCAGATCCACAGGTGAAAACACTCACACCTGCACATATTAACTGGGAGCCAATCACATGCATCTTTGCTATGGGTAGAGTCTTTGTCAGCCTAATATATATGGCTGACATATATGTATATACTCTATACGAATGGTTAATGAATGAAGTGAATTTGAGCAAATAAGGCTGACAAAGCCTTATATATATAATCTGTAATACTCGCTATTGCTGGTCTTCTATGATATTAAACCACATATCTTTGGGTTTTGAACTCAGTTTGACAAAACAACACATGAACTTGGGAGATTTTACAGCCAGAACAATTAATTAATGGAGAAGCGCATGAACTGATTACTCAATAAGGAAATTAGTCGCAGCCCTACACACCACTACATTGTATCTTATCCGAAGGCCAGCATGCTTCTGCTCACTCCCCCTCTGTTCCTCTACTCCTGTTGCCGTGGCAACAGGGACAGCCGAAGTGATAGTGACAGTCGGCGGAGAGGATGACAAGGTGGTGCTGCGCAGCGTCGAGAGCTTCGACCCTGTGACGAATCAGTGGAAGAATCTGGCCTGCCTGCCCTTCGCTGTGAGCAAACATGGGCTGGTGGTGTCGGGTGAGGAGACGCTGCGACGTTCAAACTAAGACTGACTCCAATTTGTGTCCCTCTCTGAAATGAGCAACGGCTAAGCTCATCACAAGTCACAACTCTTTTCCGTCTTCCTCCTCCTCTCTGTAGACTCCACTCTGTATTTGGCAGGAGGAGAGTTTCCTGACGGCTCGGCCAGCAGGGAGATGTGGCGCTATGACTCCTGCTTTGACTCCTGGATTGAGATGGCTCCCATGAATGTTGCTCGCTCTGAGTTAGGTGAGGCAGCCTCAGTATGAGGAGCCCTTCTTCTGTCAAGTACTGATAACGTACCGTACCAAATAGTACGTCATATTGCCTGCCAATAATTTGTCTCTGTTTTAGCTGTTAATCTTGTTCTTTTCCAAGAATTTAAAGGAGCGTTTTTGTGTTTGCCGTCATGTTTTAGCTGCACTAAGAGCTTGAATTCCTAATTTTTGGCTGCTAATTTTCTGCTCCATTAGCTCCATTTCTTTTCCATAGCCTGAAATCTTTTCTACTAGTAGGTTTCGACTATACGCCATTACAAAGATAATCACAGAACCAGCTATTGGGGTTGAGCGAGTACTCAGTTGAAATGAGTACCTGGTACAGATAATGTACTTTTTATGAGTAAGAGTGTCAAACAAGTAAAATATGTTAATATCTTTATATCAAAAAACACCCTCTCTTCAATAGTTTTCCTACTCTTACTTAAAAACATTGCTCTGAAGCTTAATTTTTTTTTCTGAATAGTTTTCCAATAAAAATAGCAACTTCTTATCCTATATCTATATCAATTTAAGCCCGCTTATGGTTCAAGCACCGTTCACACTTTTACAACTCAGTGTGAAAATGATAGTGAAGCTGTTTTTTAAGGTAGACATAATATTGATCTTGTGGTTGATAAGGTTATTTATAACTTGTAAAAAGTTGCAGTTATTAACAATTTGATTAATCAATCAAGGAAATGTGTTTATTTACTTTGCAAGTTAAGTTTGTAGTTCCTTCATGCTACACACATAGAAACAGATGATCAGCTTCCTCCCTTTGCCCTCTCCTCAGGCCTGGTGATGCTGGACGGCTTTGTGTATGCGGTTGGAGGTTGGGAGGGACGCTCTCGTCTGGACTCAGTGGAGTGCTACAACCCTCACACAAACACCTGGCAGTTCACTGACTCTGTCAAGATGGCCGTCACAAGTCCTGCTGTGGTGGCCTTAGACGGACTTCTCTATGTTACTGGTAGGAAACAAAGGCCACACACTTTATATTCATATTTTTTTTTAGGCTTTGCTCCTTATTGAAAATGTTTGGATTCACAGTTTTTTATGATTTGTTTCTCGTGTATCCTCTCTGCTCCCTGATACAGGCGGTGCAGTTCTAGAAGATGGCGATGGCACAGACCTCGCTCAGGTGTACAACCCTAAAACATCTGTATGGACAGAGGTTGCCCCCATGCAGATCGCTCGCTCTGGTTCTGCTGCTTGTACGCTCAAAGGAAAGCTTTATGTTATAGGTATGTAACATACTTTATACATACACCCAGCCAGGAACGGAGCAACCAGTTAAACAATTACACCGACCTGTCCGGTAACCTGATCTCTGCTTCAAGGTGGATGGCATGCCTCGACAGAGAACACGGATAAGGTGGAGTGTTACAATCCCAAGACCAACCAGTGGACCATGTGCGCCCCCATGAAGGAACGACGCTACCGGCCCGGTGCCGCTGTGGTGGATGGAAAGATCTACGTTCTGGGAGGAGAAGAAGGCTGGGACAGGTGAGGGTCTAATTCAGAAATGATGTTTGTGAATCTACTCTTCCAGGAGCACCTTTTTTAATTCTTCCGCTGTAGTTTCTGACCCCCCCTCCGCCCCCAAAAAAACATCTCTGCTCTGAGGCTAGTACTTCACGATGTCCCAGGAACTATTTAAGCTTGCAAACCTTAACAGATTGATTGTTTAAACACACATTTTGCTTGTGTACATTCACACAGTAAGCAATCACTGAGTGCTACATGTATCAGTATCAGGACGTGGGACATGGACCTGTCCTCTTAGGGGGAAAATGGCAATATTTGACACAACTGTTTTAATGCTTATAACCATTTGCGTGCAGATATCACGACACTATCGAGAGGTACTGTGACGAGACTGACATGTGGGAGATCGTCGGGGAGATGCCCACCAGTCGCAGCTGGCTCAGCTGTGTGTCTCTACAGCTGAGGAAGGACATCCACATAAGCAGCTGTCCCGGGACGCCAAATGACAACTGAGCGAGGGCTGTCGGGGAGGAGGAAATCTTTCGTGGTCATTACTTGCAGTCCTCATTGTGGGGACAGTGCACTACAACGCTCAGAGCTGTGGAGAACAGTGAACTGAGAAGGGATGCCTGGATTTGGGACGGCGGCTGTTTGAGCTGTTACTGACGGCAAGAAGTAGCCTGGTTTTTAATCGGTGACTGCTGGCGGACTGAGCCTCACTCACGCGGTGATGACGGAAGCGTCGTACATTGATTTCAAGTGATCAACGACTCAGCAGTTTAAAGTCACTCTCTGTATGACTTAAAACATGTTTTAGGTTACTGTTTCAATGTCCGAGCACCTCAAATCTGTGAAGATTTACTCAGCCAACATAGTGTATTTTTGTATCATTATTATGTGATGTATTTATTGGGGTGTGACTAGCTGTGAGAGATCTTAAAAAAACAAAACAATTATAAACATTTTCTCAAAAGATGCTCAGTGGGCCAAAGAATCGCATTGTGAATATTTTGGAAGGTTACCTGTGAAGATGTCTATACGTGAGCAGTGTTTTTGTATTTAAACTTTGTAAGTTCTGAATGAGTGTCTTTACTACCTGTAATATGTCGAGTATATTTTTGTAACGTAGTGTGCGTCATGCATTTTAGTGATTTTAAATGGAGTTGGGATCTAATAAAGATGTTTAATTCTTTAATGTGAATGCTGGTGGGGTTTATTCCTGTTTATTTCATAAAACAACCAAATAAATTATCATAAAAATACTTAATTGATTTCATTCACAACCACAGTCTTGACTTGTCTTCTGATAGTTTTGGTTTAAAGATTTCCTGTGGAGCTTTTGACCACCAGGAGCGCTGTTGGTTTTTATCCTATTTATTTATATTCTATAGATATGTAAACAACACAGGGACAATACACAGGCTATATCTATCTATTTTTCCCTGTGTTTATCTCCTGCACTTAGGTGCTGCTTACAGTCTTTCCAATGGTTTCACACCATTACACAGATCCACAGGTGGCTGTAATATGCCAGTAAAGGCTGGAAAGATTTTTGACAAGCCAACATGGATATAAACAATGCAGGTTTTAAAACACTGAAAATCAGAGTTGCAAGTGTTTTATAATGAAGGAAATACATTAAAGTTAGGGCTCAAGGGTACACAATGGGTTTTGGTGAGACACTGAATGTAAAGTTTTCTTTATTTACAAGAAAATATTTATTTTTACTTAAAATGTTACAGTTTTGACTTAGTATCTCCGTTTTAACTAAGTAAATTTAATTTTGTCAAAATTCAGACTTCCAAAGTAATTTGACCGTATTTTATAGTCCTATTTAGTAAACCTCATACATTATGAAGTAATACTTTTAACATTTAATATCTCCTCATTATGATTCATACTTTCTGCTTTTTCTTTTCTTGTCTTCTTTTTCTTGGTTGGTAAAAAAAAAAAAAAAGAAAAAAGAAATGTTTCGTTTGCAGTCAAACTGTTCATCAACCCCGAATCAAAGAGTTTATAATAATAGTTTATAATAATAGTTTTTATAAAGTCTCTTCGTGGGAGTTCATCTTGACGTCCCGAATCCTCTTTGATCCGACGGCGCGGCGCGGCGCGGCGGATTGTGGGTAAGACGTCAGCCCGCCGCCATATCTGTCTTTCTGTACCGGCTGAAGGAGAAGAGTCTGGAGCCATGAGAGGAATCCGGTCTCTGAACAGTCTCCCCGTGAGTCCCGTACCGTTTCCCGGTTGTGAACTCCGCCCGGTGCGGGTCTCGAACTGCTCGGAGAGTGAAACCGCTTTGTACCGACGTTAGCCCACCGGCTAGTTAGCGAGCTACCTAGCTGTGCGGGCTAGCTAATGCGGGTTTTATTTGACATTAATGTGCGGCTTGTGTGCGCGGTTATACAGCCCAGTTGAGTGAGAATCCCCCTCTTTACTCTTTCACATGTACTCGGTTGTAACAAAAGGTACGTGTGAGATAAAACAGTTTTTTCCGGCCTCGCTTTGCCTTCTTGCTGTAGCTTGTTGTGGTTCTCGGCTCAGCTGGATGAAACCTGAAGGTCATCTCGGAACTCGTGTGTGTGTGTGTGTGTGTGTGTGCTCATGTTTTTGACTGAGGTGTCTCGAAGAAAAACGACGCCCCTAGTTATGATCGTAATGTGGTGACATCCAGGTATTTTACTCGTACACTGTTAGACGCATACAGTGTGTTTGTTTGGACTTAAGTTGCACACAGGTCAGTTCAGGACAGTCTGCACTGACCCAACACACACTCTCCACTTGGTGACAGCTGGTCAGTGCACTTTGTTATGTCCTACATGGAGATGATCATATAGTGCATACACATTGTATTAAAAACCATTATTCGTTTGGTTGATTAACTAAAACAATCAGATTCATCTTATTTTGAATGATTTACAAATAAACATCAAACATAATCAACTTTTTAAAGATTTTTTTGGGGATCAGAAGCAGAATAGTTTGAGCGCTTTTGGCATGTGTCATTATTTTTGACATGCTACCGACAAAACAGTTGTTATTCAAGTTAAAAACATATTCATAAGTTGTTGTGGCATTAGATCGTAGGCTGTGAACCCCTGGTCTACAGTTGCATCTTGTATTTACAGTAGGTTGTTTCCAGGTCGGTCAGAAAGTGAATAGCTTTTAGAAGTGAGAAGAGGTAATGTACAAGTAAAAAGCAAAGATAAACTGACCCGAAAACAAATAAACAAGATGTTTTTGTAGCAAAACAAACAAACTCTGTTGTTCATCAGATTTATCTAGTGACCCAGTGAGGGAGGAGTTGGTTTTAGGCGTCTCTTAAGCACTCATTTATTTATAAAAGAGTTGAGAGGTGCTATGAAACATTAGAGGTCATGTTAATGTTCGTGGGGTCGGCTATCTAACCCTCATGTTTGCACCACTTGACGCTGTACCACATTGACACAGAAGCACTGTTAGGTCCTGGGCACTAAAAGCATGTTCTTGTTCCTGTTGAGGATCATCTCATAAGAAAAGTTCTGCTAAAATAAGTCCCTTGTATTAAATTCAGTGTCTCGTTTTCCACAGAAACGTTGCTATGCCGCTGCCAGGAGGAGTGAATCTCTGATTGAGCCCCTCGGGGGCCGCAAACCGTCCTCAGCTGCCCCTCTCCTTCCCCAAAGTGTCCAGGTTAGTGCTGCTCTCCATCATTCAAACTGCAGAAAACATTTACTGGGCTGACTCGATGTGGTTATTTATCGCAACATTTCAATATAAGAATTTGTTTACAGTTTTATTGCAAGTTTCCGGTAACTATTTTCTTTACTGCTTCAGGTGTCCAAGCTGCCAAACGGTCTGGTGATAGCGTCACTGGAGAACTACTCCCCCGTGTCCAGCGTTGGTGTGTTTGTGAAAGCCGGGAGTCGCTATGAGACTGTGGAAAACCAGGGTGTCTCTCATGTGCTACGACTGGCAGCAAACCTGGTAAGTTGTGAATGTGTGATCGTACCTTCTGGGGAACTGTAAACTATTTTCCCTAATAGCTAAATTAATTATGTACCCAAGTGTCTTCTCTTAGCTGCTTACTGTAGCCATAATGTAGCGAAAGATGCCATCTGGCAAACTAGAACAAGTGACAGTATGTTCGTGTGCTTTGGTTTGTTTGGCAAATTAACGAGAGTCAGCTCTCGCTTTCCTTTTCTAGTGTATTACACTTTTTTTGTGCCTGTTTCTATTTTTTTCTTATTGAAACTCTTGTTGTTTTGTAGACTACTAAGGGTGCGTCTGCCTTCAAGCTCTGCCGCGGTGTGGAAGCTCTTGGTGGCAGCCTGAGGTTAGTGAGGGTACATGCACACGCTGACGCTGTCTCTGCTTTCCCTTGCTGTAAAATAAATGGGACAATGCCAGTTTAACCGTAGCCCACCACACTGAACCAACTGTGTCGTCATCTGTTTTACCTGCAGCGTGACATCGTCCAGAGAGACCATGGTCTACACCGCAGAGTGCTTGAGAGATCATTTGTAAGTGTTGCCGTCTTTATCTTGTCATAACGTCGTCATTAACTTTTTGGTAAACTGAGATAATATATCATTGGCTTATTTTTCCATTTGCCATTAAACTGCATCATACATTATTTGACTAAAACTAATTACCTCATTTTTGGTGCCTTTCTGGACATTTTTAATTTAAATTTTTTAGCCAGGATCTCGGAGGTTCTACCTCGTTCAGACGCCAGCTTGACTTTTCTCTAAAGATGTTTTTTTCCTTCCCGATACCAATACCTGAACTTGGCATATCGGCTGATACTGATACCGATCCAATATAATACAGTTTTAAAAAAGAGATATATTCGTTGTTGTTTTAACGAGTGTATACTACTAAGCCTGTATGATTGCTGCGTGGCCCGGCTCAGATTAAACCATTTCAGGGTTAATTTATTACGCAGCATCGGATTGGTGCACAGACTTGCTGATACCCAGTGTGGCGTTTTAGGCAGTATCAGAGGAACTTTTGATACTCGGATCGGTATCAGGACAGCTCTACTTTTCTGTTGTGTTTATATTTTCTTTTCTGTGGATTAACACCGGGAACGTTTCGCCACATCTTTAATAATAATGCAGCAAATAGTAATAAGCTGCCTTGATTTGATTTGCTGCTACGATGGACAATGAGGGTCACATTAGTTTCAACCAGTACACATGTAAAACACAGTGATGTGAACCTGGCCCCATGTTTGGGCCCCACCCTGTGATCCCAAGTTATTTACCAGCCACCTGGCCGGTGGCCCCCAGTTTATTTTCCCGCCAAACCCAAAATGTACCTGCATTTGGCTCTGGTGTTCATTTTGGATCCTGGTCAATGTTGATGCCTCAGTGCGTATTAACTTTATTGTATCTGTGTCCAGACACTCATTAATGGAGTATTTGGTCAACGTGACCACAGCTCAGGAGTTCCGGCCGTGGGAGGTGAATGATCTGACGCCCAGGGTGAGGATTGACAAGACTCTGGCTCAGCAGTGTCCTCAGATAGGTTAGTACCAGGTTACAACAGTTCAGCTCCTAAATACCTGTGTTTTCATTGTAGCAGTGTGGCATCATGTGATATACCTTGATATCGGTGCATGAGGTTCTTCTTGCTATCATGTCAGCACACAGTTGTCCAGCAGAATAAGAGCAATATCAGAACTATTTGCTTGGTCTCTTCTGAAGAAACAAAAACAGCTGAAATCTGCAAGTAGATGCATTGCAGGCTGTTGATTCTCAGTGGGATCGGCTTATTTATTTACTTATTTATTTATCATTTCATTCAGTATTCATATTAGCATGTGAAGCCTTAGTTCCAAGCTGGGTTAGCTTAGCTCTTAACCTGATAACCCTTTGTCCTGCTGGATGGTCAGCCAAGATGCCGCGAGCAGTGATCTGGACATGGTCCGCTGCACTTAATCCAGTCCTTGCACTTCCTTTTCTGATGCTGATGAGCATATTTTTGTCTTAGGTAATGCATGCTTCAGTAATAAAAGCGAAAAAAAACCCAAGTTAAATCAAAAAGGTAACGAAATTTGAAGGCAGCCACATCTGCAGTCACCTGCCTCCTCTAAAGATATGTGTGAGAAGTTGAGGGTGGAGGTGAACAGAAATGCGTCACATTACTGAAGACGCTCTAACTTTGGTTTCAGTGTGACTGTTAATGGTGATTTAACAAATGTAATTAATGGAGCCTGCTTTCTGTGTTTTAATATTTTCTCCTGCAGGTGTGATTGAAAAGTTGCATGAAGCAGCGTACAAAAACGCCCTGTCCAACTCCCTGTACTGCCCTGAACACATGGTCGGCCACGTCTCCTCTGACCAGGTATAGATGTGTACTTTATTCTATTTCTCTACATTCTGTATGAAAGTAATTAACTGCTTGGTCTTGAAGGTCATTCTTTAGTTTTTGCATAGCTCTTATACACCTCTCCTCCTCCTTATCCTCCCCTCATAGCTGAAGTCATTTGTTGACGACCATTTCATCACTGGCAAAATGGCTCTTGTAGGACTAGGTGAGTGTCTACTGGCTGATTGCTTTGTCACAGCTGCTCTTCTCTCTCATCGGGCTTCAATGCTCCGTTTTACTACAGTTAGGCAGTCCTCTGTAGTCACAGCAAGTCTCGCTGATGTAAATAAACTGTGTATGCTTATATTCATCTCAAATGTCATTTGGTTTCTGCCCACACACACACACACACACACACACACAGACAGAGGTCCTAAGTCAGTACTGGTATGTGAAGAATAGGCCAGCAGTAATGCTAATGGTTTTGTTATGTGTGGATATTTTAATGCGATAAGGCTGACTTTGCCTGCAGACAAACGCTTTAAGTGTTGGCATGCCTGAATGACGACACATCACGCCCTTATGGAGGTTTCTATTCTGGAAATGTGTGGTATTTTTCACTTCATGATGGTTTTGCCACTTCAGCTGTATATTAATGTCAGTATTGTCTGATTTATGGGTCCAGGTGTAAAGCACTCTGTCCTGAAGCAGGTGGGTGAGGGGCTTCTGAGTGCTCGCAGTGGGGCTGGAGCTCCTGTGGCGAAGGCTGTGTACCGTGGAGGTAAAACCAATGTTTGATAGCGACCTCACACTCTTTGAGATTTATTATTACTGCGTTATATTCATGTTGCTATTGTTGTGTGTGTGTGTGTAGGTGAGTTGCGGGTGCAGAACACCGACGACCTGGTCCACGCACTGATTGCCAGCGAGTGTGGTGTGATGGGTAGTGCAGAAGCTAATGCCTTCAGCGTGTTGCAAAGGATCCTGGGAGCTGGGCCACATGTAAAGAGGGGCTCCAACATCACCAGCAAACTGAGCCAGGGTATTGCCAAAGCTACCACACAGCCCTTTGATGTAAGTAAAAAAAAAAAAAAAAGGAAAGGAAATAGACTATTTATTGTAGGAGAGTGTGATGCATTAAGAGTTTGTCTCCTAATGTCAGACGACCTCTGGCTGTCTTTCAGGCCACAGCCTTCAATGCCTCCTATTCTGACTCTGGCCTGTTTGGCGTCTATACCATCGCACAAGCTGACTCTGCAGGAGAGGTGATTGCCAAATTCGCTCCCTCCAAGACAAATGTAACCGCATCTAAAATGCACAAAGATGCCAGAACTGACATTTCACTGAACTTGTGCCTGTTGCAATCCTCTCGTTTAGGTGATCAAAGCTGCCATTGCTCAAGTGAGCGGTGTGGCTGAGGGAAACGTATCAGACGATGACGTCACCAGAGCAAAGTAAGTTCACTGAGTAACGTTGGACATGGAGGTGAAGCAGTTCTGTGCCACGTAGTAATGTAAAGATATATCACAAAACTGTTAAATTGCTGTACAAATATTTAAAGATTCCAATCGGTGAGATGAAAAATGAATCGTAATACTATTTTTAAACAGCAGCAGGCGCTGTCTACTTTTGACTTTGCTTGTCGAATGTCCTACATCACTTAGTGTCAGTATCTGTATTAAGGTGCAAAGACATCAGCTTCATCTTCACAAAGAAAAGGAACTATCTATAAAATTATAAAAACTAATATAATATATAGAGATTTTTTTCTGAGAAATAAAATGCATCCCTAGTGCCAGACGCAGAAGGTTTATGATACGTTCTTGACTCTTCTGTGTTTGACTTCTGTGCTCAGGAACCAGGTGAAAGCAGAGTACCTGATGTCATTGGAGAGCTCTGATAGCCTGTTAGAGGAGATCGGTGCCCAGGCTCTGAACACTGCAGCGTACCAGCTCCCTGACACTGTTGTCCAGGCTATAGAGGCTGTCACCCAGGACGATGTGGTCAAGGTGAGTGCCGTCAGTGTAGAAGTGGTGATACTGTATGTCTATCTTGAATTATCACATGCTCTTGTCACACTTTCACTTCAGTGGTGTGTTGCAATATTCTATCAGAAAGACTTAAAGCTGCACTAATCAACAACTGAACAATTGACCAAACACTGGCTGTAGATAGGAACTTTTTTGCACGTTTTGCGGCCACCGTAGTTTCTTCTACACACTTTAGAGCCCGTTCTCATTCCCAGGTCATCAAAAACAGACGGGAGCGTGTGTTCAGTTACTTGCAATCTGCAACCACTAGATGCCACCAAACCCCCACACTGGTCCTTTAAGAGCCAAATATCCCTCCTCAGGGGTTTGTTGACACCTAAACACAACTAAAAAGAGAGGCAATTTGATTTTTAGAAAGTCCAAATGAATGCCAGTGTTGCTCAATGTGTGCTGAATGTATAAATATATGGTGATAATATACCAAAGTTGTGCTTACAGCTTGTTCTGCTGCCCCAAAGTGGCCAGAAAATCAATTAATAGTTTTAAGTTGTTAATAATAGGCTTTTATTTAACTTTCAACCGAAGATGCTGTGTAACATTTTGTACCTTAGTGTTACTGAAAACCTCTATAGTAAAAGAAGTACTGCGTTCAAACTGAGAGTCAGTCTGTGCAGAAACATGTAGTTTTGTAAAGTTCATTAATCTTATCATGCAGATTTATTGTTGTTGTTTTTATGTTCAAACTTGTACTTGTGTACTTTCTTTAATGACAGTAAATAGAGTTGTAGTTGTAGCCACTTAAGAAACTGAGTAACCTAAGTACGTTTTAACGGCAACAATCCTCTGTCTTTTCTTTACAGGCTGCGCAGAAATTTGTGGATGGCAAAAAGACCATGGCAGCTAGTGGACAACTCAAGAATACACCGTTTGTGGATGAATTATGAAAATAAAGTATAAAAACCGGTGATTTTAACTCGGGCATGCTGTGCCTGGCTGCTTATAAAGGAAAAAAGGACCTCAGAGCCACGGCCTACTGCAACAATTCATTTGATGTCAATGATCATTTGTAGTCTGTCCTGCAATAAGTGTAAGCACCACAACAGAGAGCCAGAGAATCATAATGCAATTTTTTGTGTCAATTTAACTGTATATCTATGTAAATTAAAGTAAAGACAGTCATACGAGCTGGTTGTCGCTTGAATTTGTACTTTGAATGAATCCTGACTGTTGGTGCTGTGTCAGGAGTGTTAGGGTTAAAAAAAAAGCTCTTAGGGCAGCAGGTATTTTTAGCACTTAGAGATATTGTTCCATTCATGAACCAATAGGGGGACCCAAAACTACAAACATGTCTTGTAGAATTTAAAGTTAGACTCAAGCAGCCCTGTTTTTGCTTTTGAAATAAATATTGAGATCATTTACTTAAGTAACAGTAACAAACCTGGCTTATATGTTGAAGTACTGGGTTATTGTCACACATTTAAATGTTGCAGCTGGTTGAGGTGCTAATTATAACAATGTTGCTGTAGTTTAATCAAAAATATATTTTATATGATCATATTACTAATATGTAATTTATTAATCTGGAGTGGCTTGTTCCTATAGCTGTGAGATGAATACAGTGGAGTTAAAAAGCATTTTTAACATTTTAAATATAGAGTGTATCCTACATAGATGGAAAAAATGGATGTACAAATACCTTATATACTGACACATATTATTAAATTACCCTAAATCACCCCTCCAACCCACCTACTGCCCTCTGTCTGAATAATACTACATGATGTCTGTGTCATTTAGTTTACGGTTAATTGATTTAAGGCTGCAACTATTTTTGAATCAGTTTAACAATAAAATATCCAAAAGTATTAAATTCTTACATTTTAGAAGCGGTGACAAACGAACTGTCCTGAATGCATCAAAATTGTTTATTATTGTTTTTTGTCAACTGACTAATGTATTTATTAATGATATCCGCTCTAGTTAAACTAAACACACCTTTAGCACATTTTTTCTTTCAATTAGAGGTCTTAAAATGTTAACACTGCACAAAACATTAATTTATATCGCACTTAAATCATGAAAATTAACAAAACATCAACCAATCGTCGGTTTTATAATAGCAGAAGTGGGGAAACAATATCACCGACCCTCAATTAACTACCACAAACAGGGCGACTCAGCACAACAAGAACCCCTTTTATTTTATTTTCTAACGCTAAGTATCGCGAGAAGAGAGAGCTAACCCCCACCACGGGAACGAGAAGACACTGAGCTCTGTGTGTGTGTGTGTGTGTGTGTGTGTGTGTGTGTGTGTGTGTGTGTGTGTGTGTGTGTGTGTGTGTGTGTGTGTGTGTGTGTGTGTGTGTGTGTGCGCGCGGCGCTGCGTGGGGGTGTTCGCCTGATGTCATTTGGCTGAAAGGGAGGCTGAGCTAACGGTAGGCGCACGGGCTGGAGAGCACAACAATAACCGTCCAGATTCGAACCGTCAACGTCTCATTCGGAGTGAAATAACGCAGCGTTAAAAGAAAAGAAAGGAAAGTCTCCCCACCGTGGTCCAACGAAGAAGACGACGAAGAGGAGGAGGAGGAGGAGGAGGAGTAGAAGTAGGTGGTGGTGGTGGTGGAGGTGAAGCTGGCTAGCTAACGGTACCAGATGCTATTCCAGCGGAGAAGGAGAAGAACGGGCTCGAATAAGCGGGTGATGGGTTCTCGTACACCGTCGCTAGAAAACACACGCAAGTGAAGAAGAAGAAGAAGAGGAGGAAGAGGGGGGGTTCTTTGCTTTGCCTTGTCTTCTCCCCGCCTCCTGCCTTGTGTGACATTGTGTCTGAAATGCTAGCGCAGTCGCGGTCTCGGCCGTCGAGCAGCCTCTGGGCCGCAGCTCGGCACACCGAGCCCGAATCTGGGAAGTAAGCTAGCTAGCTATCCGCTAGCCGCAGCCGTGCCCGATGCTGCTGCCGCTGCGGCTCCTGCTGCTGCCGCCGCTGCTACACGGATCCGAGAGGCAACACAAGCAGGGTTCAGGGACTGAGTGAGCCTTTTGTTTGTTGTGTGTTTGTGTGAGTGTGTGTGTGTGTGTGTGTGTGTGTGTTTTTGTTTTTGTTTTTTTTTACACCTTACTGGACTACACCGGGCGTTTGAGATGTGATGCTTCTGCTCGTCGTGTTTGAGCCTTGTGTAGCTGGAGGCTCTCGTTCACTTGAGGAGCTAACGTTGCTGCACAATGCACAGCAGAACCACAACAGCGGGCTCCTGTTGAAGGGGGCGAGGTTAGACTGATAACAAGCCCACCCTGTGTCTATCAACACTTTTTTGGTGGGGGGGGTGGGGGGTCACACTTTTGGACAAACGACTGCCACATTTTTCCCCACTTCATTCACCTCTTCATCAGCTGGCGATATGGATAAACTCACGATCATTTCAGGGTGCCTGTTTCTGGCAGCGGATATCTTTGCAATAGCCAGCATTGCAAACCCAGACTGGATCAACACTGGTGAATCAGCAGGTAAAATTAAGGAGGCCGTAAACAAAACTGCTTTTGTGTTGTGATTTTTTTGTTTTTAGCAGGATTTCTTTACCACGTGTGCCCACATCACAGAAGTATTTGTCGTCAGATAATCTCCGCAACAAAGATCTGTATCAATCTTTGTATGCAGCAGCATCTTTTGTCCTCCACAGCTGTGTGTTATGTGCATGTTTATGTTGCTTCTTATTGACTTTCCAGACCTAAATATCACCAATAATTACAATTTTATGACTGACTCATCAGCAGGATGGACCTCTTCTGCTTCGAGGACTGCAACTAATGATTATTTTTGTGTTTTTAATCAATAAATTAATAGTAAAATGTCGGAAAAACATGTAGATTCACGTGGTGTTTTCTTGAAATTGCTTGTTTTGTCTGATCAAAGAACATACAACAGAGAAAAACATTAAATCCTCACAGTGTGAAGTTGAAACCTGAGAATATTTTTGCTTGATAATGTTGCTGAAAAGGTTAGTCAACTAACCTATTGTCATGAAATGTAATAGCCAACAGTTTTGATGACAAGTGATTCATCAATTCAATGAATTTATGTCAAAAATGCCAAAACACTGGCTTGTACCAGCTGTTTAGACGTGAGGATTTGTTGCTTTTCTTTGTTTTATGTCATTGTAAATTCAATGTTTTGGGGTTTTGAGACATTGGTGAAACAAGACAAGCAATTAGTTTGATTTTAATATTTTTTTTGACTACAAAAATCTAAATATTAAGCAAACACAAAAATAACTGTTAGTTGCAGCCCTTTTTTTCTATCAGCCGATAAATCGATTAAGTGACGAAAGGTAATTGTGGTCCTGAATTTCTCTGGAGACATGACATTTGAAGTGACCTTCATGTTGATCAGCGTAATCAGTGATCACTTGAGGAACCAACTCGGGTGCTTATTTGTGGCGTCCCTGCTGATTTTGGACAGAAGCACGTGCTGTGAGTCCTGTTTTATTTCAGTCCTGAAAACACATTCAGGCTATTGATAGACAGCTGCTCCTCTTTGTTCCCTCTGCAGGATGACAGCTTAGTAACTGGGTCAGGGAGGGTCCATCATCCAGCACTTCACATCCAGGCTGCATTAGATCAACAGAATAAGCACTAATATGTACAAAAGTAATAATAGGATGCAGATGCAAAGAGGGCACATTTTACACTGCAGTCTATTTGATTGTATTGGAGAGTTAATAATGGATATTTATCAGCGTGTGAGATGAGGTTCTGGACTTTTTTTTTTGGCTGAGTAGTTCAAAATTAAAGTTGGTGTGCTACAGCTAAAAATTGCACAGTAGCTTCCCGCTGAGATCCACAGTTCTGTACGCTCGTGTGCAGAAAGTGGAACCGTTGCTATATTTAAGCCGCAGTGTTGTGGTGAGTATGGGTGTTATTATAGAGTGGGTATCATACAGGGACTAACTTCCACCTCGCTGTCACTGTTCTCACTTCCAAACTCTTTGGTTATTGTGATGTGACTCGTCCTTGATGGTTTCGTGAGACATGTATGCGATAGACACCTGACATGCATATCCCCTCACAACCTTTTCTTTCCTCGTCATTTTGGGAACGTACCACCAGCCACTGTTTTGGAATATATAATAGTAAACTAACGTCAGTTTTTAAATATTCTGTATTGTTGTTTGGTCTAGAGAGGTGATTATTTTGCTTGTGAAGTACATTTTCACCGTGGCCAGATATGACATGAGATGCAAGGTAGTCTTAAAACAGCTTCTTTAGATTATTTAGTCAATGGGAAAATAAATGCGGATATCTTATCTTCTATCTTATATCCCTGGTTTTATCATTATACAATTCAAGTATGTAACTCAGCACTACATCCACCCTTTAAAGGCCAAATGTAAGAGAAGTTATGTGGGACAGAGCTTTGATTGAGACGCTTGTTAGTGTTAATAAAATATCCTTTATTATATTTGTATGGGTTGAGTCCCATACCACAAACGTGTGGTTAGTTTTTGCATTACCTAATTAACATTTAATTAATACTTTATCACACACTATAATATAGTTTTAAGCAGATATAAGTGCTTCTCAATGTATTTGTCAACAACTATGACTCAGGTGTAATAATGCAAAATATGTCTTCATAGGAGAAGTTTTATTTGTTGACAGATAATGTACATTAATTACACTTAAACGTGTGTTTATCTATTTACAGATACCTCAATGTGTTATAAACAGTTTATTAAATGTTTATTAAGTAATAATACAAGTTAAGTGTTACAGTTTTTTTCTTATTACCTGTTCATCCTGCAGTTTCCACCTGAGATAGACACTGTGCACAAAACCCTTTTCTCTTTTTCAGAGTTACGATGGTATTGTACCATTATTTATATTTTACATATCTATGTTCTTGTGCAGTCAATAACTTAATTTAACACACTAACACAGAGTGTGTCTCACACATAGGTAGGTAAAATAACAAACACATTTTGATAAAGGACTTAAAATTTCAGTTCATGAATCATTATTGCTTACACAGCGATTAAGTTAAGTGACATTTGGTTTAATGACAAATTGTTTACCTCTTTCATGTTATCTCCTCATTTCACCTTCCTTAGTTTAAACTTGTGTTCTTGGTTTCCTCATTGTCAGTCCAGCTTGTCAGTTTTTGTCCTGTTTAGTCTTCACTTTTATTCAGTGATTTTACAGTTTGTATTTGGAGTTTGGTTAAACTGACTTTTGTAAGTTTGAACACTTGCACGTGAAATTGCTGATTGTTGGGTAGCTGAAATGCTGCTGAATGGGATTCAACCTATAAAGAACCACATTTCTTGCAGTGTTTGTACTTGTACTAATTAAGTCATTTCAGAGTTAAACTATTTATCATGAGCATTATGTTGTCTACCTCATTCATTGTTTGTTATTATTAAGTAAGAGCCCCTGATGACTCCCTACATTATATTATCTCCAATCAGCTGACCTCTAGCTTTGTTGTTGTCTTATCAGAGGGACTCGGCTCTTGACAACCTGCCCTTGTAGGGCCTCAGTGTGTCGTCTTTGTAGTCAGAGCGTGGAGAAACAGACATGTTCCCCAGGGCAGTTAGCATCTATAAAAGCTGACTTTGCTCATTGAGTGTGTGGCTTTCGCCTCCTGTTTTGGTCACGTGATTTAATCCAAGCTTCTTTTGTGAACTAATCAAGAAGAAGTAAACAAACTGTGAGGCTTGTGAATAACATCAGTTATTACTGATGATGATGGCTGTTTCTTGTAATTGCCCACACTGACAATGGAAACAAACCTGTGAGGAAGGAGAAGCAGCGCTACTGTAACTCAACACAAAAGAGAGAATGTGTATCCATGACAGTTTCCTCACCTCAGTGTGATATCCTCAGGTAGTAACGGCTGTAGTTGATTTCCTGTGCTGAGCTTCAAGACAAAGCCATTGTTGCTGCCGTGTCAGATACAAACTGTTTCTGCAGATAGTTGTCACCACAGTGGATGGCCTGAATAACCTCTGAAACACTCTGTATGCACGCACACACACACACACCTTAAAAAATGCAAAATCACATCTTGGTACAGGCTGGCCTTTCATCACACTGCAGTGATTATTTTAAAACATACCATCTCTGCATGTAGAAAATCACCACCAGTGTTTAACCACCCCAATTTTATTTTTGTACCCACGTCATAGGCAGGTTAACCATTTCGTTGTCAACAGGCGTCAGTTGGATTTAATTTAGGTGGAAAGATTAACACTTATCGTTCCAGCTTGATATTACCCGGCAATTACTTTGCAAAGTGTTTTATTGTTTGCAGAGAGTCCTTGAATAAAGACTGCTGTTGATCGAGAAGGTAGTTGTTGTGAGAGGAAGAACCGATTAAGACGTGACAAAATTAATTTTGTATTTTTATCATCTTGCCACCATTCATTATAAATAATCTCCAGGCTACAGACATTTTCCCTCACAGCAGATGATGTTCATTACCTCAATGTGCATGCTGGTCAGTATGGCTTGCGAAATAATAAACTAATTTGTTTTCTACTGAGTACTAAGGAGATACAAGTGTCAGGTTTGCTAGTGCCCAAAAAACACTGCAATCAAAGACATTCCTCAAGCTAGTTGTAGTTGCTAGATCAGAGTGTACAAAAGCCCGACAGACGGATGAGAGATTGTCTAACACGTTAAAGGAAACGACCGAAATTTACAAAATGCACGAAAAAAACAAAAGTAGCATTTGTCAAAAGTGCCTTAAATGATCACCGGTGCTCAGGAGCTGCTACTGTAGTTACACTGATGTGATCTAAAATAGACGAAATGGGAGAATATTAAAATGTGTTATTTCTGGTGTCCCTTTTCAAAGCACAAGGACACACACTGTCATTGATACAAAGCAAGTGAAACCAGGCCCAACCAATATTTTCCAGTCGCAGAGCTGCAGAGCCAGCAGTTTTTGACCTGCAGCTGAGCTCCAACCTGTGCCACCAACAGGCAAGCACAAAAACTGCAGCGCCGGTTCAGAATTGCAGACGTAGACATGACGATGTTTTGAAAATTACAGGCAAGTGTGGTTATGACATGTGTACTTGAGTGTTTAATTTAAAGCCTGTAACCTGCAGCAGCTGTAGCACTCAGCTGCTATTACTTCCATTGCCTGTAGGTGGAGCATTTTAGCTACTGCTTACGTGCTAATTTTGCTTTCCTTGTTAAGTACAGTAAACGTTGTTGTTGTACGTATCGGTGCTTGTTTCTCATGCTGCCTGAGTTCGACCATTGACGTTTTTTGTGTGTGCAAGTTTGGACCGTACACAGCTGTGCTTCAGTGTCCCTACAATGTAAGTGGGCGCTGTAAACGCCTCTAGCAGAAGCAGCGGCAGAAGAAGCAGCTGTTGGCTGCTTTAGCCTGCCTACTTGCCACCCACCACAGTTCAGAGGCCTGTTTGACTCATCCCTCCTGGGCTTTCAAACAGCAGCACCCCCTATACTCCACTAATGACAGCATCATCATGCTGAAGATGAGCAGACACGGACCTCATTTCCTCTCATTTGGGCCGAGACATGGTGAGAGGAGTATTTTGATCATAGTTAGTATAGAGCTGACTGCAGGGTAACAGGGTATGATGGAGCCGTGGAAAGTGAGCAGGCCCTCAAAATGGAGAATTAGCTCATTTTCTTCTGTGTGGGAGAGACAGAGGAAACATAAGCAATTTGTTTATAAGCTAAAGATCATCCATTTTCCATTTACTTCAGTTTTGTGCATCAGACGAGATCGAGCATTGTTTCCTGTTTTGGTGCAATCTCAAGTCGGTTCTGGTACAAATACAATATCACACTACCAGAGTTTACATGAGAAGATTGATGCCACCTATCTGTTCGTTAAATATGAAGATACAGCTGGTTAGCTTAACTTAGCACAAAGACTGGGAACAGGGAATCGCCAAGCCTGACTCTGTCTTAAAGTAACAAAATCTACCTACCTGCTCTTCTAAAGTACTTAACACCTTGTATCTTACATCTGAGGCCAACGGAAGCCAGTATGAAGACAGGGAATACAATACCAAGGTGGTTTTCTTGCCAGGTTTGGCTCCTGGCACACTGGGACTGACTCAGCTAATATTGGCTGCACAGCTAACCCAGCTCTGTTAACATTACAGTTAGCTACTTTAGCAAGTGCATTAGTAACCTCCTTAAATCATCTTAATACCGCTGTGGTCTTTGCTGGGTGTATTCGGTCCAAGTCCGGCCCCATTGCACGATGACGACCTCTGTAGCAGCAGTTGGAGGACATCAGGTGGAAAACAACAAAAACTTTCCTCCATAAAATATGATGCAGTTTCACCAGAATCAGAAATACATTTGTGTTTTTGTACTATAATGGGGCCCAACTGTTATAGGTGGACGTCATCATACAATTAGTTGAAAGGGGTCGGTTCAAGTTTCAAGGCCACGTCACATTTTGTTGTGAGCTTCAGAGGTGCTGGTATGCAGATTTTGTTACCTTTTGGACGCATTCAGACTAGCTGTGTACAATCTTGAAGCTAAGCTTACAGGCTGCTGGTTGTAGCTTTATACGAACAGATATAAGAGTGGTATTTATCTTTTCAACTAACTGTTCCTTTAATTTATCCTCATGTATGGTCTTGCATAACCAGCCCAAGTTTGTAGGGTTGTGTGTTTGCAAATTGGGACTGTGAGTAGAAGTGGAATCTCCCATGTTAGAATAAAAACATGTATCATGAACACACCGTTGTTGTTTGACTGTCAAGACTAGAGCTGCTTGTTTGTGTGCCTTGCTTGCTGAGTTGTTTACCTGTATCCGTGTACCATAGCGTGCCTGCCTGCTGTAGGGCAGGAATTCCACAGAGTGCTCGTGAATCAGCAGGAGGCCAGAGGATCCAGGGGAAATGGTCATAAACCGGTGCCATTAACCGCAGCTTTCAAACTTTTGCCTGATTTTCTCTTGCTCCCAGTACCAGTCCCTGTTTTCTTTACCTTGCTCATCTCCAGTTCTCTAACATGCTCAAGGTTACTCTATTGGGCTGACTGCAGGAATACGCTGTTAAGTAAGCCTGTGAGCCATTCAGGTGCCATTTTTGTCATGAGCCATGACCTCCATTTTTTTCTTTTTACTGTTGTTGCATAAGTGTTCTGCACAAGGACAGTCAAATTGCCATAGCAATAAGGCAGACGATAATGTAAAAGGATCCTTTTCATTGGTCCTTGTCTGTAATGAAACGTGCGTTCCCAAATGACAGCATTATTTGTGTGTGTGTGTGTGTGTGTGTGCGTGTAACAGTAGATGTAAAGCCCTCAGTTCTGCAGTTTTGTATCTAGCTTACCTGAACATCTACAGACTCCCAAGGCGTTTCTTTTGAAGCACTGGCATTGTTTGTGTGGGTTGTTACTGTAAGAGCAGCGCTTTAACGGGGTGTTATAAAGGGGACAGGATTTCCTCTGGACAGCCTGCAGAGCCAACCACGCCCCCGCTGCAACAAGAACAGTTTTCTCTCTCACAGGCGTCGCTTTTCTGTTTGGCTTCAAGTGCTTTAGACACAATAGGTTTCTTAGCAGCATCATAAATTCATTGTGTAACTATATTCAAAGGTTAAAGGAGGCAGGGGTAAGAAATGTCTGGAGTTGGGTGCCAGACGGAGCAAGTAACACGCCTGACCTTCTGGAAATCCAGCTTGCATACTTGTCTCATGCACACATCCGCCCACCTGCTGAGCCACTGTTGAACGTTGATGATGTCGCCCACACAGACTTGCATTTTCGGTGAATGGGTTATTGTGTGGTCAGTGGAATGAGTGTTTATCACTCCATTAATTTTTCTCTTTTTCAGATTATGCTTTAAAACATGTAGCGGAAATGACATCCTTGTATTTTTCTGAGAAGACATTGTGGCATTAAAGCCTTGACTTAAAATATTGTGTATTTTAAGCAGTCTGTTTGATTCTCTGTGTGTTTTTCACCCAGCAACCATGTAGAAAGTGTCAAAGCATGTGGCGTAAAACAGCTCCTCTGCCATCCAAAAAAGATGCACTTCTAAATAACGCTCACACCCCCCCATCTACTTTTTCAAGTGAACACCTCTCTTCCCCCTCAGCCTATCACTTATACTCTGCCTTTCTTTTGCCCGAGACCTGTGATCAGCAGAGGCCTGAGTGATGCAACGCTGTTCTGCTTACTCAGGTTGAAATTCCCCTTGAGGACGTGCTCTAATTGAATGCCGTCCCTCCCGAGTGGATGCACCAGCGGAGCATGCTCCGGCTCCGAGTATTGGCCTTCACACTCGAGCTCTAGCAGAGCATGACTCAGAGAGAGGCTTGAATCCGTTTGCCTCCCTGTCTGTTCAATGACTGATAGGTATAGGTGAACACCAAGACATTAGGGTTGTCACTTCAAATCTATGACACCACATGGGAAAACATAATGTAAAGGCTATACTGTAGGCTATAAAAGATAAGACATTGGCTCTTACCACACTGATGGGCAGAATATCCTTGCATGTAAATCTTGCTCTCTTTATCTTGCTGCCTCACTTCGACAGCAAGCTAAGTTAGCAAGCGAGTCTGCGGATACGTTGTCTTTGTAGAGGTAGACAACTGGTTTGTACAAAGTCGACAGAAGCACAGTGCTTTCCAGATGCTTTGGTGTTGCGATTGTCCGCCCAGGAAGGCTTTGCTTCATGCTCTGCTCGCTAGCGTCTTCTATTTTCGACAACAACTTTAACATCACTAGCTTAGTTTACTGACAGGTTAACAGGCCATAGGTCAAACTGACAGTGGAGACGCACTACTTCAAGCAGTCTGTTATTAATAATATATTAATCTGATTGTAAACTAACTTGAAAATTAACCGTTTCATTCAAAGTGACAAGTCATGCCATGTTTTGCAATAGCAGATGTATAATAATAATAATAATAATAATAATAATAGCGTTTACTCGAGTATGGAACACTTGAACATATATTCACAGGGATATTGAGCCTTAAAAGCTGCTGTAAATTTGTCTCACATTGCGGATTCTTCCTGTTTTTGTGTTAAGTGTCATACCTGCGTGGGATCGATGCAGTAATTGGCAGGATTGATTTAGTCCTCAATCTCTCCTTGAGTGTGAATGTGCATTGGCCACTCACTGGCATAATTGGGCCCACCAGTGAGGAGAGAGCAACTCCCCAGCTTCCTCGACCAGCTCTGAATCGGTGACCAATTAAAGGAGCTTCTCTCAGTCCTTTTATCATTCCTCCTCCTTCACCTGTTCCTCTTTCTCTTTGCCATTAGCTGATCTGCTACTCTTCGGTCTTTCCCTCCTTGGACCTTGTCGTTATTTGAGACACCAATTTGTCACCGCTTTACTTTTTTTCTCGATACCCTTATACTTATTTGTCTAGTCTTTTTTTCCACTTGGAATTTTTTTTTTTTTTTTATATTCAGCCTTCAGACACACTGTCCTCAAAGATGTACTCTATGAAATTGGGATCACAAACACTGGCTGTCTCTCCTTATTCTGACCTTTAGTTTCCACTACATTATACAGATACATTATATTGTGGAGACAGCTGCTTCACTTGTGTTTGAAGGGCCAAAATAATACGTTTAATTGACCTTCTGCTAATATTTTACAATTAATGTTCTGAGCATGCTATGTCCATTTACTGATGCTTAAGTTGTTGATGTTCTTTTTATTAGCTATGTTGCATTCAATTCTTATAGTGTGTATAGTGTATATGTGCATTTCCTACCAGGATTTGAGGAAAGTAACTCCGTTAAAAAAAAAGCAGTATAATAATTACTCAACTTTATAGACTATTTTATTAAATTTGAATTTTCCATGGTCTGATCTCTGCTTAGCCACTCAATCTGTTTGTACTCCTGTCCTATTACAGCTAATGTGTACAGAACAAATTAATTTAAATGTCAATATTCAGTGTTTTTTATGTGTGTGTGTTTGGTGAATGATGAATTTAAACTGATGAATTTAAATGGACACTTCATCAACATTCAACCTCTCTCTGTAGGTGCCCTTACAGTCGGTCTAGTCCGGCAATGTCAGACCATCCACGGACGAGACCGGACCTGTATTCCACCGCGGCTCCCCCCAGAATGGGTCACCACACTCTTCTTCATCATCATGGGCATCATCTCCCTCACAGTCACCTGTGGACTGCTGGTGGCCTCACACTGGCGCCGAGAAGCCACCAAATACGCCCGCTGGATTGCCTTTACTGGCAGTAAGTGAACGAGACAATGAAATTCACTCTGAATTAAATTATTTTGCTTTACTAGACCTGTCGTCAGCACAATTCCCCCGGAGCGTTTACACCTTCTTCTCTGTCTCACTGCATCTGTCGTGACATAACCAAAATCACGTTTGCTGCTTTAGTGTTTTTATGCATATCTTGTCTCTTTTAGGGCAGGAAATAATAGCAGGAGAAGAGATGAGGTTGGAGCAGGATGAAAAGGCGGTTTTAGTGTAGTTATGCGCTGCTAATTTAGATGTGCAGATAAGTGTGACGTCAGAAACATCCGAGGCTATATACAGGACCTTTTTATGTGTTTGTGTTTCTGAGAGTGACGTGAAAACTTGTGTGTGTGTGTGTGTGTGTGTGTGTGTGTGTGTGCGTGTGCGTGTGTGTGCGTGCGTGTGCTTGCGTTTGCTTGCGTTTGCACATCTATGAGAGTTGTTTTTGCATGCTTGACGACCACTCTCGCTCCTTGAAGCTGATTTACTGAGTAATGCAGCTCCTCTGGTACCCGAGTGGGTGGCTTATGTGCTGTGGCGTTTCTCTAGTGTTTTTTCTCCCTCTTTGCCTTGAACATCGCCACTCTCTCTCTTTTTTTTTTTTCTCCCAAACACGATTTCTCTATAGATGCACTTCTAGCACTTGATAATAACCATCTCGTGCACTGTGGCTGGGCTGGATTTGTGAGGCTGTGTGGGAGGGCGATGTTTGATTGGTCGGTTAGTTAGGGGAATAGACGGCCTCCAGCGCACTTGTGCAGATGGAGCAGCCTGTTATTGTTTGAAAGCTGGGTGCATTTTCCAGGACACTGTGCCTTTTTTTTGTGCTGCAGATTTTAAATAAACACCCAGTGTTTTGCCTGCCAGGCCAAATGCAAATTCACGATTAAGGTTTTGTCTCTCTTCCTAATCACTTGCAAATACCCGATGAATCACCACTTTGCAAAATCCCAAAGACCCCCACAAACTGTCTGTCCAGTTAGGAAGAAATCTGTGTCACAAGCTAAATTGGAAGGCATTGAGTCATTGTTTAACGAGCACCAGCAAAAGGAAAGTAAGGCAGTTGCTACGGCAACAGTGAGCAATTGTCACCCTTGTCCCCTGCTAAGCTTCTGTTGGCCATATTACACAAGAGGTATATTATTAGTGCTGATTTTTCCTCTTTTAAACTGGTTTAAAGCGTGAGGAGGATGATGATGATGATGATTATCACTTTAAATCAGCAAATAATGTTAGAGGCCTGTGATGTATTTTAGGTATGAAGGGGAAGAAGCTGGGTTTGTTGTAAGAGAAGAGATCATCACTTTCTCTTTTTAGGACCTCCATTAGCTGACACTTTAGCGGCTGAGGGTCTTCCTGAGATCCTCTTATATCTCAAAAGCCTGTTTGAAGTGTAGAAGAGCGACGAAAAGGCAGAAACAGGACCAATCCATGAGTGCTTTTTCCTCATTCTGATGCCGCTGAACTTTAGCTGCGGTGGCAAACCTCTCTGCCGACGGCCGAGCGGGGGAGAGGGTGAGAGGTTAAGTGAGGAAAGTGGGTGGGGGCTTATGAAAAGTAAAGAAGGCGAGTGAATAGTCATGTTTGTAGAGGTCAAGAGCGGAGAGCGCAAGTAAGTGAGAGACGAGTGCCAATGTAAAGACACAAATGGGAGGGGAGATGAAGTGACGTTGGTTTGTAAGGAGACGGGGGTGGTTCATTCGAGGCGAACAGGTGATGAAGGTTGAGAGAAGGTGGGCAGTCTATAGTGTAACTGGCTCCAGGCCACAGGCACCTGAATGGACAGCTTTGTATGAGCAGCACAGACCCGCCTCTGTGTCTCTATATATATCACACACACACACACACACACACACACACACACACACACACACACACGAGTAGTGTTTCCCCAAGGTGTGCCGGCCATCCGTGGGGGTGGAGTGGGCGTGGGCTTATTATAATAATAAATATAACTCTAACAATACATTAACTGCAACTGTTGAAAGAGGGCAATTAGTGAAATTACAAAAAAGACAAATAAAAAAAATAGGTGTATGATTTCCCCTCCTTCCCCAGGTATTAATTATATCTTCAAATACCTTTTGTGGTATCGACTGATAATTAAAGTCCTCCCCAAACAGGGACCTTATTTTAAACAGTAACTTGAGGTAAAAACATATTGTGATTATTTTGACAGATACTGCGATGGCAGTATGATTCACAATTAGTGTGAGAATGATCATTTTTACATCCCAAATTAAAATTTCTCTGAAAATATTTAAATCGTAATGATGGGATCTGTACCAAGCAAACATGCTTTCTTACTGGGGAACAAGATTTGTAGGTCAGGGCATCTCTGCAGCACTACAGTACTTCATAATAATGCTGTCTTGTTACACATTTTACCTTCATCCAAAAACTGCGATTTGCATATTGCACTTTTGCCAATATTTCAATTAATTGGAACTAACCTACTTGATAAAAGTAGGATAAAACACATCTATTTTATAGTGTTCAATGACACAGAAGTTGTTTTACGTTTTCCAAAGAAAATCCAGTAATTTTGTCTAAATCTAGACCCCCAAAAATATTTTAGTAATATGTTACGTAACCTGAGCTCCCTAGCTAAATGAACTGTCTGAGGTTGATGTACATCTTGGAGAATTAACTTTAATTGATTAACTGCACCTCAAACTAGGGGGTTCTTGCAGGGCAGACGTACATGACATGGGGCAATATAGTTGATGGTTCATGAAGGAATGATAACAATTCTTTCAATGCAATGCAAAGATTCCTTTAGACAAAGCAACATGTACAAGTTGGACAGGGAATAAAAGAAAAACCAGGAGATACAAACAAAACCGTCAGATCCTTATATTTTGGATCCTATGCCTATCTTCCCCTAAAGTTTACTGTAAATATAGTGATTTATGTTTGTCTGAGATTTGTTTCATTTGTGTCCAAAATCTAAATTATTTCTGACTTCAAAAGGGGAACAGGACACTGACATAAACAAATATTTTTGGATAGAAGTTTTTTTTGTGTGGCCAAGATACTTACTGAGCCGGACATTGTACAGTTATAAAACAAGTTGGTCACAGCAATATCTTATTACTTCTCAGCCAAAATATCAGCTGATAATGAAATGGATGCTATCAGCCGAGTATGTCAAGTTACAGCTTATTTAATATGGAGGCTAATGAGCAGGTGTCGTCAATTAGAGCCACCTGGTGTCTATTTGTCAGAACGATGAGTGTTGTTAACGATGAGCGTTACTCTCGGGGGCTCTCGTTAACTGCGCTGGTCTAGACTAAACTTTATTAGATAATTGTGTAAGAAATGATGTAACGTGACTTTGTTGGTGGTCATACACTGTCGAAATGTGCCTCTGGACTCTACCTGTCTTGTCAATAAGCTCCTCACTTCATCTGTCATAGCAGCTCTGTTTCTTCATTGTGCTTCTATGGCGCTGCACATTGTAACAGTAAAGTTACAACTTTCTTTAGCAGAATTGATTAATCAATTGTTTTGTCTATAATTTGCCTGTCTCTAAAGCCCAAAGTTAAGTCTTTAAGTCTTGTTTGTGTCCAACCAGCAGTCCAAAAAGTGCAAAATATTCAGTGTACTTACACATAAGGCAAAGAAAAGCAGCAGATCTTCATATTTGAGAAGCTGAAACCAGAGAGTGTTTGCCATTTATGCACAAAAGAAGGACTTTAACGATTCATCAAGGATCAAAAGGTTGCAGATTAAGGCAAGGCACTGTATGTCATCAGTTTAGGCACTTAAGAGAAGCAGCGGACCATGAGCTGCACTTCAATTAACTGCTTGCTGGAATAATGCTGAGCCATGTATTTCTGGCTCCACTTTTAGCTTAGCTTTCACAGCATCCTTTTGCAATCATGCCCCCCTCACAGATAAACACATGGCCCGAGCAATGAGCAGGCGAAATGACAGACATAAATATTTGCTTGTGTGTGCCTTGTGACGCAGGTTTACCAGACATTGTTCATTTATGCTCCCTGGCAGACGTTTGGCCTGTTAGTGCCTGTTAGAGTCAGCAGAACATGCATCTGATTTGCTATTCGACTGTTGCTGAACATACTCCCATTCTTATTTTATACAGTGTGTGATGGCTTACATGTCAGAAAAGGCTGGGATTTAGTTTTACTGTGAGCAATGCTGCAGTCTTCCTATATTTAGAAAAGTTACCTACTGCAGCTTTAATGGGACCTTAAACTATATAAATGGTTTATTAGTTAATCAAGTTGCTGCATGACACTTAAGCTTATTCAGATGAAATATACATCCTTACATAATATAATATACAACATATATTGTGAAACATACCATTTATCCATGGTTGGCATCTCATGAATATCTCTGGTTTTATTAGGATATTGTGGATAAAGTTATAAACAAGTGAGCAGTACTGACTGATGGCGCTATTTGACTTTTAGATATGATAAAGAATGTATTAAACGTCCAGTTTGTAACATTTCAGAGAATCTATTGGCAGAATTGAAATATAAAAGTCATACGTAGGTTTTCATTAGTTTATAATCACCTGAAAATATGAATTGTTAGATTTTCGTTACCTTGGAATGAGACGTTTTTTATCTACAGACGAACGGCCCAGAAATGGCTCTAAATAGGTCCATTCGTGGTTTTTTTTGTGTGTTTTGCGCCCACTGTAGTTACTCCCTCACGTTTGGAAGGGATTTAGATTAATGGATTAGCCAAAAACAAATATTCTTGTCTATTTGATTCACCACGATAGATGATTTTATCCATATCAACCGTCCCTAAAAAGATATTTAATCTCCAGGGTGATTTGTATAAATTCTAGTCTTTTAATCCCGATATCCAGATTGCTGTACTACTACAGACTCTTCTATCTAAAGCCTGGTTAACAAAACTGTTAAAGGCAACATCAGTGAGACTTTTTTAGAGCAGGAAAACTCACCCCTCAGGTACTGAACAGTGCTACAAATTGACAAGATGGAGCAAAAAAAAAAAAGTGAAAGCTAAAAATGGCTTCATGTGCTTTCACCAAGTAGATTGCACACTTTAGAGAGAACCAAAATAAATCAGTGTTAACTTTAAAGAGCTGCACTACCTGCTGCAGTTCAGAGTTTATCTAGCTCACACTAGCAACATGTAACGGTCTCAAATCTGCACAGTCATTGATCTGTGATAAACAAAGTCACACAGTTGGCTTTGCTGATTAACGTCACTGTGTGTTACAAGTGGACAGAAAGCTTCAGTAATAATCTCTTCAGAGGAAACCGAAGAAAAGGGAGCTGTCCTAATTAGTGGCTATCACTTTTCCAATCACAGACGCCTACTTCCTGGACAGTATGATAAGAGTTAGTAATGACTTCACCCTCTGACCTCTGCCTCGCTCTACAGCTGTTAACAAACCTGACGCACGCTGAGAAGAACATCACAACATGCTTTCCCCTCTGTGAAGTTTCTTCATGCACATGCGTACTCGTTAAAAAGCCAATTACAAATCTGCTCCCGAGTGTTTACACATCAAAGTCTGTTTTCAGGTCGTTAAAAAGAAGGTGTATAAAGCCTTTTGTGGAATCTGATAAATTATATAAACAGTATCAATTGAGGCTGAAGACAACAACTTTGAAAATGAATAAATCTGCGGGCTGTGGAGTTAGAAAAGAAGTGAGCTCACCAGATCTCTGTAGCTGTTCGATGCCACATTAGCTGCTACTAGCATAACATACTCGACCACCTTTTTAGAATTGTGGGTAATATAGGACCCAGGTTTGGATGAGGATTAAGAACTGGCCCATGTGAGTCCACCGGTGTTATAGGATTGCAATGCTAAATTGATGGATTACTCTATTCAATCAGGTGCTTCTAATATTAAGAAATCAGATGCAGGGAAGCTAACCTGGTTACTACAGTGAGCCGGTGTAGTTGCAGCTTGTGAACTGATTCCAGTAGTGTGTTTGTTCACACCAGTAAAGACTAAAAATCTCTGAAATGTGTTTATAAACTTCCTCTAAGAGGGAAATTACAAAAAAGATGTTTTGTGGTTTTGGATGAGGGTTGTGTTGATGTTGCTTTTCTCTCTCAGAAATCTACTAAATCCTTTTTCAGTCAGCACAGTTACACAACTTAGATGAACAGCGGGTTTGTAATAATGTGTCTGTCTCATGATGTAAAGGTTTTATCAGTAAATTATGTCCTTTATGTAACATCTAGTGGCAGCTGTAGGAAACTACAGGGAACATCAGCACACATGTGGTTTCTTCCACAGCCCTCTAATGTTTGTCTTTTCGTTAATGTAGGAAATTCTGTTTCAGGATTAAACTTAATAAACGGAGCTGGCTGCGGCTGTTTAGAAAGCTTGAAATCTGATTACTGATTTGCACCTTTTAAGCCTGTAAAGAAATTTTAAACTGTGTTAATCAGCCTGAGGTGATATAAAGAGCTTATTTGTGGTTCGTGGAGAAATCATTTACAGAAACTAATGCTGCATTCAAGTAATGTTGGAAAATACTGTAGATTTGTGCTCGCTCAAGGATAGCACTTATAAAATAAAATAATTGCCTGAAGCCACATAAAAGAAAGCTTGACTTTCTAACCTCAGAGCTGAAATTAAATCAAATACCTGAGGGATGCTTTTCAATGGTTTGTGGAGGAATGCTGCCTTCAAGTACTATCTGAAATTTAAAACGTGTTGAGCCATTTTTTACCCATAAAATGACGTTTTTAAAAATTTGGTAATAATCACACCAGCATTGATGTGATTCATCACAGTACAGTCGTATTATTTAGTTTACAGCTCAGAAAATAGTGGGGAGTACGTTTAAGGATAAACATGAATGCATCGCCCAGAGTATAAGAAACAAATTAAGGCACTTCAGACTGAAACATAATGTTTGATGCCACCACCTTTTTTGCTGCTACTATATAAAATGCATTTTTGAGTTTTAGTGCTGCTGAGCTGTAGACCTGTCCTGCCTCGTCTTTTAATCGTGTGTGTGTGTGTGTGGGTGTGTGTGGTGTGTTGTGTGTGGGGTAGAGCTGCGGGTTTATGGCCAAAGTGATAATCCCGATTATTTCTATCAATATTGAGATCGCGATTATTTCACTGCTTTGTTCTGGGAATTAAAGTATCTTGGCTGCAGCTGCAGCAACATGACCGCTCCCCAAAAGTGAAACCACAACATCTCAATCACCCTGGGTGATGGCTGATTGTTGGTTTAGGAAGCGCTTCATTTTGATATGCAGCAGAGTTTTCTGTGAGCTGAGCATTTTAAACATCAATATTGTAGACGATCACGTTCATTTCATTGTGGCAAGCCAAAATTGTGATCACGATTAATATTGGATTAATTGTGCAGCTCTACTGGTTGTGTGTACAGTAGATCTTGTTTTTGTTTAGACTATTTGTTATTTGACTGTTGAGATAGACAGGAAACATCAGCATTTCATTATTTATAGGATTCTTGTACAGTTTGAGCCTCTACAAAGTGTTGTCATCTCTTGCAAAATACACAGTCATTCTGTCTTCGACCTTTTGGTATAAGTTCTTCCTCATTTTCACACAAATTCAGTCCCAAGTGTCCTCATGTAGCGCTGCATTCACCTTGTGGTAATATGTGACACATAATGTTGTTATTTTCTTTAGAGATGTCACATCCGGACCACCCTCTGTTCCTTTAGCTTCTCTACCTCAAACACACATCCTTTCTGAAAAAGGAAACATGTTCCTCAGGCTGTTGCTTTCTATCCTCATTTACTACAGCACTTGCCATCACAGGCTGAAACCTTTGTGATTTTAAACACAAAGGTTCACCAAAGCTGTCTACTAGAGTAATTGTTCAAGATTTTTATCTGTAATCTCAGCTTTTATAGCATTTTTTATAGCTCTTAGTCCTGCTGTTATGATGTCTGTAATAGCCGTGACCCCTCGACCCACCCTTGCACTCTCACACTGGGAAATATGAAATAAACAATGATAATAGATAATCTACTGTTCTTATCTGAACAAATGAAACGAGCCACAGTAATTACTGTTGATAAATCTTCCAAGGCTGGATTATTACCTCTTAGCTCTGTTACAGACGTTATTGGGGCCAGTGCCTGTAGAAAGTTCCAGCTAAAGTAATGATAAAACGATGATTAAAAATAAAAAATAAATAAAAAGAACCGAATGAAGTTTCACAAAATTAATGCTATTTTTATCTCCTCTTCTAATGAAGACATTATTGTAAAATGAGGAATCATTTCAGTCTGAAAAAATGAATGATTTGACAAATTCTGGTTTGGCAGAGCCACATGTTTTTACTTTTTCTTTCTTTGGCTCCTGTTTCTGTGCATTCGTCACAATAATGTGTAATCTATGACATTTAACCTATTTCTAAATGAAATGTGGAAACATTAAAGTGCTATAAAGACACGAGAAGGCAGTCATGCTGATCGCAGTGAATACCATGAGTCTGCTTTGTGTAATTGCTCCTTCAAAGTCGTCTGAAAGGCCCTATTGTACGCTGCTAATGAACTTTCTAAAATTGAATTCAATTTGAGCAGTTGAGTGAGTTCATGCTTCCTCCTCCTGCTAGAAAGTAGGCGGAGGTCATACTTTTTAGGTGTATGTTTAGTCATTGAGTGAGTCTGTCCCTGAAATTCATGTAGTTTGGTTTACATGCAGCATTTAGATACATCAAGGAAAAACTAGTGAGTAACATTGGGTGTCTGTACAGAACACTAGGAATCATATGTAAGTGTGAACTAACATTTTCTCTCTCGTTCCTCCCTTCCAGTGATCCTGTTCTGCATGGCGGCGCTCATCTTCCCCATAGGCTTCTATATCAACGAAGTGGGAGGCCAGCCGTACAAGCTGCCCAACAACACGGTGGTCGGCTCCTCGTACGTGCTGTTTGTCCTCTCCATCTTCTTCACCATAGTGGGACTTCTCTTTGCAGGCAAAGTTTGCCTCCCAGGCTGAGGACTCGACCGTGCCCGCCTCTGGACTGACACGAGGGGCTCGGAAAATGTTATGGGATTTACAAAAACACAGAATGACTGAAAATCAAAAACAACAAACTCTGGCCAGAAGCCTGATACAGGGAAGTCTTTGATTATGTGTCAAGGGACCGCAGCACCGTGGAGTACCTAACAACTAAAAAAAAAAAAAAAATAATGAAAACGAACAAAACACTAAATGGGGGGCACGAAGGGGGGGAGGAGTGTGAGAGAGGGCAGCCGAGGCTGTCTCAGCACCCTGCCACTGTTGATTTAAAATATGGCCGTCTCTCTGTTGTTGTTCTGTTGGGGGAAAAAGGGTGCTTAATGTGCTGCTGTCATGGCAACTGCGGCCACAATGCTGGCGCACATATTCTTGAGGACCACTACAGCCGCTCCTCGCCTTGACCCCCGCCCGCCCAGCTGCCCTCAGCACACGTCTGCGCCGTCACGACCGCTCCTGTTGCTATTTTTGGCTTCTCTTAGCTATTTCAGTTGTGTGTTTTTATGTTGTTGTACATTTTGTGTTCTTTTTTTTTTTCTCTTCTTCTCTTCCACCCCCGCCTCCTTTCCACTGAAGTAGCTTGAGTGTAATTGAGGTTCACTGAACTGAATCCTAGAGGGGAACTGGAGGGTTTTCTGCCAGCTTGGCTTTAGAGCAGAGTTTATTCTCGCCTGTCACTTCACAAGGCCCCAGGTGTGTGGCTGGGGAGAGCAGATGTGAGCCCAGCTGTGTGGGACAGCTCACAGGCTGCTGTGGACCAGAGGAAAGGTGCAGGTGTGCCGCCTCTTTTTTTTTCTCCGACCAGCTGCAGCTCAGGAGCAGGTAGCGACGAGGGGTGACCTCCCTGTGCAGTGGAACAGGAGGTCAAGTACCATAAAGGAGAATGCCACTCAATGTAAGACCTTGCATTATGTTATTCACATGGACAGCAACAGAGTATTAGTGAGCGTAGACGGCTATTTTGCTAGGCTAAACCCACTGATACGCGCTGATAAACATCCCTTGCCAGTAATTAGAAGACTGTGAATTTAGAGAACAATCATCTGAACATAAACACACCTCCTTGTATTGCTAGTAATAATCTTAATTCTGATAAGTACAGCCTCAAGAGCCGTGACCTTTTCAAACTTCGCTGTGGAGTTGAGATGAACTCTTATATCACTAATTATAGCAGACTGTATTGACTTTCATAAATAGAAACTGAAGTTACCTAAAGTGTGAAAATAACATATGTGAATGCTGAAATTTGGTGGTATTCTCCTTCCATGTTGGACAGGAAAGAAGGGAGCCAGGAGCATTTTCTTTCTGTCTTGTTTTGTATAACAGTGAAGGCACCAGGACTGCAGGTCAGGTCCATGCATGGGGGCTGTGCCTCAGTGTGCTGCCCATGAGGCCCGTGAATGTAAAACACACACACACACACACACACGTGTACAGCCACTACACTGTCTGTACTGTGTAAATCTACATATTAGGGCTTTAACTAACCATCATTGTCTTTTATAGTCTGGGTTATTTTCACAATTAAATCACTCTAATTAACCTCAGAAAGTCGTGAAAATATGCCCATTATTAAGTTTGTAGAGCCCTCGGTGGTGTGTTCAAATTGCTTATTTTGGCCGGCGTTTAACTTTAAGAACGCACACAGCAGCGAGGTGTAGATCAGTGTGAGCTTCAATTCAAGTCCCACGCCACGCTTTAATTAGCTCATCAAAAGTTTTTGGCTGTGTTGCCTCCATCAAGGTGGAGGTGGTGGGTTTTTTCTGGTTTGGGGCTCAATCGTGCTCAAAGTTTTGGAACTATAGTGGCCATAATTTGGGGGGATGTAAACGGGAAGTCCTGTTTTTTTGGCCTATATTTTTCACATTTTGACGATTAAAAGTCTGCTAAATCAGCTATTATTACCTCTTGCTTGCAATGTACCCATTGATGTACAGACAACTATCACTGGATTATATGATACTGAAGAAAACTGTAAAACATAATTATTGTCAGGCAAATTCTCGAGGATTAAGTGTCTTTTTTTATGATTTCTAAGCAGATTTACGGTTGTTTATTCGCAATGAACATTTGTGATAATTATTAAAAACCTCTGGTCTGTACAAAGTAGCTTAACACAGCCATCCCTCAACTTCTCAACTGTCACAAGACCAGTTTATAAACTCATAGTATCACATAAGAGACAAAGCAAGATGGCATATCTGATTGCTTAAAGAATAAATTGAGGGATCAATCGATTATGGAAATAGGAAGATTCATTTTACTTAGACTAATTGTTTGCGCTCTTCCACAGACGCATATTAAAAAAACCTGACATTATAGGCTTATATTTTATGTTTTTACACAAATTCTGGCGAGTATACGACCTACTGACACTCAGATCTCCTGAAAAGGTGTGTGTGTTTGTGTTAAATCAATCACGGAGCTCAGTTGCCAAGTCTTAGTTTTGTTTTTGTTTTGTATTTCCGTTTTCCCGCTCCGCTTTTCTTACTCTCGGTCTGATGATGTATACTGCTAACTCTACACTCTGCAGTGCCCTGTCTTTGGTTGGTTCAGTATTGTGCCATGACCTGTTTTTGTTTAATAATGTACAGACACAAAAGGCAGGATTTCTGTATTAGGAAGCACTGTGCATTCAACAGTATAGGTAACAGAAATAGAAGCACCACAAATGTATAAAAAAAGAGAACTTCTTACCTCATTGTTTTTGTTTCTGCTATTATTTTCTAATGGTGGCAATGTGTGCCCTCTAATTTGTCTCTTGCCTTGATCGGATGTCTTCACATAAAGCCTATGATCATAGGAAATTATTTATCACTGAATAAAATGAGAAACAATGGGTGTGTGTGACTCTGATAGTCTGTATGATTTATTCTGCTTATTTAACGGAGTGTGTGTGGATCCAATCAGTAGCTGAGCTCAGAGACAAAACAGAGCAGATGCATTTAATCAGAGAAATCCTCCTTAACCTGTTAATCTTAAAATCAACATGCTACTTCTACAGGATGTGGCCCAAATGTCCTTCTACTCCCACTTCATTAAATCTATAAAAAAAAAAAACAGACGCAAACCTACTTTGATTCAAGGGCAGCCACCCAGGATGCATCAGGAAGGGCTATCTGCGTCCCTAGAGTAGATCTATTAAACGCTCCGCGGCTGAGAACAAACCCGCCCGCGCTTCGGTGCTGATGAGCAATCTAGACAGAATTTCCCTTTGGACGTCGGTCACCTTCAGATCTGCTTTAAGAATGGTGTTGTCTGGGCTAAGTGGATTAATTAATTTGATTTGCACAGTAAACATTTTCCTGCAGAATAATGTTTCAAAGACGACTGATAACGTGCACGGTTGTTGAGCACATTGCACCCTGGATAGGAACAGGTTGGATAAAAGCTTCGGTTTGGGATGTTTCAAGCTGAAAAGTGTTTTCAGAGGACAGGCATTAGTTGCACCCTTTGTTAACCACGCTAGATTGCCAAAACTATTTGATATCATCTGTCATAACATTACTTGTGGAAGCTTCTGCTTCTAAAGGTCCTTTTTTTTTTAGGAATTACCTTTAGACAACGTTTAACATTTTTGGGAAGGTGCTTATTGTTACAGTTAACGTAGCTTAGCATAAAGACCTGAAACCTGGGGGGGAAACAGCTAACCTCTCCTAAGATCTGCCTACAAGCACCTCCTAAACTGAATTAACTTGTTCTATCTCAGTTGTTGTCTACTTTGCAGAGTGTAAAACAACACATTGTGGCTTTTTCCAGGAGTCTCCACTGGTTGCCTGGCAACAAAACAAGGTAGTATAAGGCTAGCTGTTTCCCCTGTTTCCAGTTTTCATGCTAAGCTAAGCTAACCTGACTGACTGACTGCTGGCTGTAGCTTCACATATCAACCTTCTCATCTAACTAAGTTGGACTGCTTAGTTGTTGTTGTTTTTCTGCAGCATTAGCTCTTCAGTTAATTCTCTTAGATAGATTTAGCATTCACTAACGATGCACTGCGACAGCTCAAACTCAGGACCCCCCACCCCCTCGAGAAAACAGATCTCAGACAGGCACAGAGATCCTTATGTTCAGTTCTCAGAATAATTACTGCAGGTCTTTGTGTTCATGTTTGTCACACATTCAGTCGGATGAGTCGGTTTCATTTATTTGTCATTCCTCACTGTCGGCGTGCAGCTGAAGATAAGACAGCGCTGCTCCTCTCAGGACTGCACCTCCATTAACCACTCCGTGACCCTGCAGCGTGGAGCTGGAGCACGAGCAGTGTGTTTCCATTTTGGATTTCAGAAGGTCACAGTGTTTCTGGCTCAGCGGATCACATCAGTCCAACCAGCAAGCGCTCTGCTCTCTGGAGACAGAACTACAGGAAAAATGTACTGATGAATATTTGATCTCTACGAAGGCTTCTTACACATGTGACAACCTTCATGGTTTGACTTATTACTGCGCCTCAGTCACAGTAATGATGTAGCTTCCTTTTTCTGGCTACATCATTTATTACTGCAGTGGTTCCCAACCTGGGGGTCTGGACCTCCTCACGAGGGGTCATGAGATTAATCTAAGGGGTAATGATGAAAAGATTATTCAAACTTTTGGGAATTTTTCCTTTAATCTCACCTTTATTTTAGTAATAATTAATTGAGTTTTACCTGTTCAAGCCTCTAAACAAACAAAGTAATCTGAAAACACATTCCCCATTCAAAGAAATCAGCTTTTAGATGATTGCTTTCGAGAACACATGGCTTAAGAGTTATTGAGGTATTTTTCTATGACGAGGTTACAAGCAGGAAAGGTTGGAAACTGCTGTGTTACTGTATGACAAATGATACAATGCTTCTCATCTCTACCTATTCATCAAAAGACAACACACCGCATAAACGGAATAAATACATAAACAATCTGTTGTGTTAGTTATTCTTGATGCTCCCGCAGAGTTTTTCTTTGTTTGCTTTTATCCAAAACTCACTGTGTCTGTGCGTGTATCACCCTGCATATGTACTGAAGTTATAAAGTTGAGCCCGGGGGGGACTCGCAGATGAGTCTGCTAGTCTTGATTTAGCCGGACCCTCCTGATCGGCAGCAGATGCTTAATAGTGAGTTATTGGAGGACAGATCAACACTGACAGAGCCCAGAACAGTCCTCTCATTCCAGATAGAGGTGAGATGTTTCTCTGGCACCAAAATGCTTGCTTATAACTACCCAATTTATGCTCTGCTTTGCCATTAAAAATGAAGTGGATGATTAGCTGTAGCAATATACAGTATGTTGGATGATAATAAACTGGATGACGAAGTGTTTCAGGATGAATTTCAAGGTTTAATTTAGAAATGTATTAGTTTTTACGAGTTTTGTCCAGCTACTCAGAAGTAGCACTGCGGCACAGAGTGATGAATTGTTGCAATACGACTTCTATTAGCAGATTTTTTTCCTGAGCAAAATGTTACAATCACTGCTGGGAGCTCAATATGTTTAATGGGACATCGTCAAGCAATGACCCCTTTCTAATTTTGTGCAAATGTCTTTGTCGTTTAAAAAGAGTCTGCCATCTGCTAACAGTGTTAGACCCACTGGTGTTTCAGAGCAGATTATAGTCATATCTGTTTCACATTTAATGTGCTTTTATTACACAGAGTCTTGATGTAGCGAGGGAATCTGCTCTAGTTTGTATAATTGTGTTTTCACAAAATTACAGAGACAATAAAATACTGAAAAACTGCCCTGGAGCTGCTTCACAGTTCTGACTCAAGAGACAAATGATGGTTTGTGCATCATTTGGTATTTCCAGCCAAGGATCCTTTTTTATTTAGAAATTATTAAGCAGATTTACCCCAAAATTTGCTGCCATTTGCTGTCTGACATCTCTGAATTACAGACAGACAGCAATATCTGGCAATCAACACCTGATCGATACAGATCTTTAAACCATTTCTCTTATAAATTATGTGACACTGTACTCAGAATTCACTCCTGTTTGGTGCTGCACACACTGATAGGTGCCTTATCATGACATAAGTTGTGTGGGTGGAAGAAGCGGTGAGAAAATTCTCGGCGGATATGTCGCAGCAGCACATATTCCTGTATTTTATAAGCCCAATTTGCAAATCTGCGTACAGTGCTCCTTCCATGAACGTTGTGTTCATGTGCTACAGTGTGGTGTCCTTCTGCCAACTAAGATAGATTACTGTGTCAGCGTGCTGCTGCCAAGTGCACTTACAGGGAAATATGGCCGCCATCTGTTCACGAGAGGCTGCACCAGCTCTCTGCTCTCCACCTGAGGGCCTGCTGACAAAATGTATACCTACAATTATCTCACAGTTTTAGTTACTATGAATTAAAACATATGAAGAGCTTATATAATGCCTTTTTGTAGATTAAACTACCAAACAATCAGTCAATTATTTTGTCCCCATCTAAAAACTCTCACACAATTAGCTCAATATTCTTCTGTTCTAGAGCATACCATTAACACAGTTCATGTTGTTTTCAATGTACAGCCAATTAACACCTTTCTATAATACTAAAAAAATAGCAATAAGCTAAATATGTTTTTCTTCTTGTTCCTACAGTTCGATGTTTGATCTTCACTGTGCAGAATGATGTATGTGCCGAGTTTGACACTAGAAGGATGTTTTCACATTCATCTGCTGGAAGTGGAAATTTTCTCTGTGCTCACTGAAAATCTGATTTTTAAGGGACCTATGAGCACGATTTGTGCCATCAAAAATAGTCCGGAAGCCAGTCCTGGTCTAATATGCAACTTATACAAGCAGGATGTAGAAACCCGAAGCCTCCAGTGCACAGACACTGAAGATGGACTTTACAGTGAAGTAGGAAACATCTTGTGTCCAGCAGGAAAACGTGTGAAAGAATTTGCATATTCATAGATAGTTTTTAATGAGGTAGAAAGAGTAGATTCCTTTTTAGGGATTTTAATGTGGAAATTAAACTTTTTTGGCAGAAAAAAACATATCAGAGACACACATTATTGTTGCCAAGCAGATTATTTGTATATGTTGTAATAAATGTGAGGGATCTTTAAAATAGTACTCAAAGATTGAGCCTGAATTGTCCATTTCATACATTGTGATATTGTGAGGCTCCTAATAGACCCTTTTCACAGCAGACATTTTGACTCATCAAAGCAGGAAAAGCACAGCTGTAAATAATAACATTGCACCAATGCTTTTCCTGCTTTGACAAGTTTCATTGGTTCATATAAATTTTCAAATGCATTACTTTTAAAGGGCTCCAGTAAGAAATAAATGTGATTTATTTAAATTTCAATTAGCTGCACATTTAATTTGTTTTAAGTGTGTTTCCTACAAAAACATCTCCAAATATCTGCTGTGAAAAAGGTGCAAAAGAAGTGCAACATACACGCTGTATTCAAAGGGCTGTCTCTGCGATGCTTTGTCTCTGCTAACTTTAGCTGCCTTCAGTATCGATCGCTCAGTAGGTGGGAGATAGAGGCCCAGCAGAGGAGGCAGTGATGTTTCCTCCCAGACGGATGTGATGTCTGTCTGCTGCTCGTCAGCATCCATCACACAGCAGACCTGCTGCTGAGGCAAGAAGAAAAACACACAAGAAACAAGACATGAAAGTGCTGTTTGTGGAGGCCAGGAGCTGCGTCACTGAGAATAATCACAATATACTACAAGAGGAATAAATACAATCTCTTCTATTGCAATGTGAGCAGCCATCTTCTTTTATAAGCACGTTTACTTGCTCCTAAAACTTGAATTCAGGATTTTTTGTTAGTTAAGTGTTGATTACAGTTTAATTTGAGTTAGTTTTCACTGAGGACAGACTTATTTCCTTCATTTTAGTAATTATGTTGCTTA